AAGAAAAGCAACACTGCCTCCAAGAGCAAGAAGCCTAACAATGCGCGTAATCGTGCTGCCAAGCGCATCCAGGCAACAGACGAGGTCTCCCAACGTGTTTTCACCAATTTGGAGAAGCACAAGGATGTGTTCTTCTCCGTGCGCCTTTGCCCGGCAGAGGACATTCCGAACCTGGGCCCAACGGAGGACCCAGACCCTCTTATCCAGTGTGACCTCATGGACGGCCGTGACGCCTTTCTTGCCTTGTGTCGAGACCGGATGCTAGAGTTCTCCGACCGCCAACGAGCCGTCTACAGCACAACTGCACTTGCATTTGAGCTTCACAACGTCAGTAAACAGCCCTTTGCATTCGGCCAGGTGCAATGCGATACCTGTCGGAATATTGTTGCTGGCGCTAGCTGGCACTGCACGGACTGTCCGGTATGTTCTCTCTGCTCTCTCTCTCTCTCTCTCTGCTCTCTCTCTCTGCTCTCTCTCTCTCTCTGCTCTCTCTCTCTCTCTGCTCTCTCTGCTCTCTCTCTCTCTCTCTCTCTCTCTCTCTCTCTCTGCTCTCTCTCTCTTTCTTTCTCTCTTGCAAAAGCCTTGGGGTAGTAAGTTTGGGAGTAAGTATTGAGAATGGAACAATAATATTCTGCTTAATTCTATATACCGTAAAGTCTTGTATAAAAGCCGCGGTTTCTATGACTTTCTTGGTGAAATTTTGCAGGCTTCTATACAGGCTTCTATACAAGACAGGTGTTTCTATGTATGTCAACACTAAAACCAGGCTTATGTGTGATTTGATGGGCCCAAAATTGCGGCTTCTATTCGAGGGCGGCTTCTATTCAAGTGCGGCTTTTATACAAGACTTTACGGTAGTCCATTTCTAAATCAAGGCAATTCAAAAATTAAAAAAATGTATAAAAGTAATAGGTTTTTTTTGGGCATGACAGTTTGTTCTGTGAAGGAACAATTGGCACAGCACAGAAGCTTGCTTCTTTTTTGATGTAGCCTTTAGGCCACACGTTTTTATTTCTATGTTTCTCGTCACCCGAAAATCTAAAAACGTATGCGAGAGGTGGAAAAAATAAAAAATGACCGAAAAAAAGTTTACTAGACCTTTGGTCATACTAAAATCGACCAATACACCATGTAAAATAGCATCCATAGTAGAGCTTCTGTCACAATCTGTGCACGTGCAGCTAGATTGCACACACAAATGCCGACCTCGCATCATGTGTCGCGTAGGCCAGGCCACATGTGCATGATTGTGCTAGTCCCCACATGCACAGTGCAGCACAGTTTTTTTCTTTTTTTCTTCTGAACTCCTGGATTGTATGCGCGCAGGTGACGAGAAACATAAAAATAAAAACGTGTGGCCTTAAAAGTACTGTGTTGGCTTTGTACAATTGTCAGTTAAGGAAATCCTATTTTCCCTGGTTTCTATTGCCTTGGCCACTGCTGTGCTGTGCCTGCCCATGTCTAACTTGTATGCTGTGCTTGGGTGTGCATGTGTGTGTGTGTGTGTGTGTGTGTGTGTGTGTGTGTGTGTGTGTGTGTGTGTGTGTGTGTGTACGTGTGTGTGTGTGTGTGTGTGTGTATGCATGTGTGTGTGTGTGTCTGTGTGTCTATGTGTATGTGTGTGTGTGTGTGTCTATGTGTGTGTGTGTGTATGCATGTGTGTGTCTGTGTGTCTATGTGTATGTGTGTGTATGTCTGTATGTATGTGTGTATGTGTGTCTGTACGCAGGACTTTGACCAGTGCATCACATGTCATGAGACTGTGGGGCATAATCACGCCATGACGCAACAGGGCCTGGTGGAGAACTTGATCCAGAATCCTAGCACAGATGCTGAAGCCACCGCAAACACAGCTGCTGCGCCCTCAACGGCCGGTAAACCCAATGCGTCAACGTCGAGTGCCGCGTCCAAGGCATCTGCAGACATACAGCCAACGCAGGATAAGTTCATTGCTGCTGTTCGGCATGTTTTGCAGTGTCAGGACACTTCATCATGCAACTTGCCCTCTTGTATTCAGGTGCGCAAGATTCTTTCGCACGCTCAGCAGTGTGGGAAGCCACAGGGCACCTGCAGAATATGCCGCCTGTGTCTTTTCTTGTTTGCGAGGCACAGCCGAGACTGCACCAAGCCCGCAGGGCTGTGCCCCATACCACTTTGCAACGAGCTTCGGGTCAAGCGCCAGAAAATGCTGGCCAAGCAACGTGCTCAGCAGGAGAGGATGGTTCGTAGTCGCATGCTGTGCATGAGTACGGCGACGGAGCAAGCTGATACGGGACGTTCAACCCCATCCTCCGTGGCCGCAGGCCGGGCTGATGATGACAGCGGTGTGGCAGGACTGGGATCAAGTCCCAGCAAAACTGCATCGCCGGCCAAACGTCACGGCAAGGATCAGGGAGACGAGCAGATGGACACCTCGACGTCAGGGGATGCTAGTGGCAACTCGGCTCCTGCATCCTCCGCCTCTGCAGCGACTCATGGCAAGGGTGGGGCCTTTGCTTCGCGTCAATCACCTTCTGGTTCAGGTCTGGCGAAAGATACCAGCAGTGCTGCGCCTCTTGATCAACACACCCCACTTGTGAATGGCATTACCCAGTCCAACAGCAACAGCAGCAGCAGTGCGAGTATCAGTGGCATTAGGCCCGGTAAAGGCAAGGCCTGCGGCTCCACCAGCACCATTAGCAGCCAGGCGGGCAACGGTGGCACTGCTAGCACTGCTAGTAACTTGATTGCTTCTGCAAACGTTGGCATGGGACTGTCAACTTCGTCGTCAGCTTCTCCCTTGCCGCAGAGCAACATTGCATTACTGCAGGCAATGCAGCAGCAACAGCCGCCCCGGCAACATGTGTTTCGGAATTCGCCTTCGCCTCAAGTCGCTGCTGGCCTGCAGCAGCAGTTGGCAAGTGTGCAATCACCTGCCAGCCTTCATCAACAGCCAGTACTTCAGCAACCCCAATCTGCAACTGCCGGAGGTGCCGCGTCATCTGGCAGTGCCGGTCACAAAGATGGCACTCAACTAAAGAACCTACTGCTAAAGCAGAAAGCAATAAATCAGGCCAGTGTCAATCAGACACCTCTCAGTAGTGGTGCAGGTACTGGTACTGGCAACCAGCTGCTAGCTGCTGCACCAAGCAATGTTGCTGCTGCTGCTGCTGCTGCTGCTTCTGGCCATAGTTCTGCTCTGCAGTCGCTCATGCATCAGAGCACGCCTACAGACCGCAGTAGTCAGACCCTGCTGGCGCAGCAGCAGCAGCAACAACAACAACAACAACAACAACAACAGCAGCAGCAGCATCTAAAGCTAGTGGACCATCAGCATCAAGTGCAACAGCAACATGTTACAGCCGAACTGATTCAGCAGCAGCAGCTACAACTGCAGCAGCACCATCATCAGCAACAACAGCATCATCAACAACAACAGCAACAACAGCAACAACAACAGCAACAGACACGGCCCATTCCAGCTCAGTTGACTGGTCGCCAGCAACCTCATGCATCTCTCCAGGGTCAGCAACAGCCACAGCAGTTGACGCAACAGCACCAACAAGTAATGCTCCAGCGGCAGCGGCAACAGCAGCAACAGCAGCAGGCATACCAGCAGCAGCGGTTGTTGGAAATGCAGGCAATGGCCCGTCCGATGAACACAAGCTCACCTCAACCTCAACCAGGCCCGTTGCATAACCACACCCAGCCGGGTCGTAACCAGCTTTTCTCCAGCCCGCAGGAGCAACTGCAGCAGCAGCAACAGCAGCACCAACAGCAGCACCAGCAGCACCAGAACCAGCAACTTCAACAGTTGGTCAGTAAACTGGAGCAGGACATGCGTGCTGCTGGACCAGTACTGCCCATTGCGCTGGCTGACAATTCTCTAACCTTGTCGCCCCGCCAGCAACTAGTCATAACCAATTTCGCACGTGCACTTGGTTTTACCCCACAACAAGCGCTTGAGTTGTGGAAGAAGAGGGTTCTTTTACGTCAAGCACACCAATATAAACTGCAAGAGCAGCAGCAACGGCAGCAGCCGCAGCAGCAGCAGCAGCTCCTGCTGCAAAGGCAGTTCCGTGAGCAAGCACTGCGTCACCAGCAGCAGCAACAACAGCAACAACAGCACCAGCAGCAACAAATGCGCAGCGCATCGTTGGCAGTTGCTGCAGCAGCAGCCCACCCTGCAGCAGGTTCTAGTCCCGCAGCAGCAGCAGCAGCGACTGTGACGGGTGCAGCCAATCATTCTCTTTTGCAGGGCCCGACGGGTCTTGGCGCTGCTGCTGCTGCTGCTGGACACAATCCATTGCAGCAGCAATTGGGTCAGCCAAGTAATGACCTAGTGGAGAGCATCTTGGCTGGACCGAGTGCTAGCAACAGCTTCTACTCTCAGACTGGCACTCCAGGCCTTCCAGCCATGGGTCCTACATCCGCCGCCGCCGCCGGAGGGATGCTTGACATGAAGCCTACTATCCAGCAGCTGCACAGCGATGCAGCACTGGGTGTGCGCCTACCAATGAATGGGGCAGTCGGTAGTGAGTTTGATGCCAGCCTGCAACAGCACTTGAATGCAGCAGCGGCCTCTGGCCCGGACCGTCTCGGTATGTTCGTGTAAACCGTGCGATATTGAGCCAGTGCGGGCAGCTGGCTGGACGTCTTGGTAAGTGATACCGCGGACAAGTAACTCGCTGAATAGGTTCCTAGTGTAAAACGTGTTAAAATAGACAATGGCCGTTACGTTGACGATTAGGATTGGCCACCTTTAATACACGCTACTACTGCTGCTGCCACACCCCAACTACACATATTGGCATATTCTCTTTGTACCCAGCACTATTTTGGTATTTTCCTTTACTCCTCCGCTATGTCCGTGCCCAGTCTCACCGGCACTAGTAATATGCTCAGCTTTACTTTTTTTTCTATATCTGGCCTACGCGCTGTCTCCCTCGTCTCAGTTTTATATATGTTGGCATACTCGGCTTATCTCTCCTCCTCTCTCTCCCCCACCCGCCTTCCATCGTGCGTGCAGCAGCTGCAGCCGCCTCTCGTAGATATAGTCTCTGTGATGGCGTCTGTGCTGCTGGTACATGTAGTGCTGCAACAATGGCTATTGTCTATGCTGGAACCCTGGTGCGTAACTTTCTGGGCACCCTTGACGGAACGGAGCAGAAGAGCATAACGGAGCAAACCCACTGCCTGAGGTTTCACGTCTTGAGATCACTTTCTTTTACGGATGTGTGTATTTATTGGAACACACACACACACACACACACACACACACACACACACACACACACACACACACACACACACACACACCGTATGCTGACATCTCGCTAATCTTGCCTCTCGGTGAAGTCGGATGTGTCCGCTGATTGCGGTTTTTTTTGTTATCAGTTTTGCTTTTCTTCGCGCTTTCTTCATTTTCAAACCCTCCGAGCATGTACCATGCATCGTGAGGCACTGTCAAAGTCGATCGACGCACTGCAACCCTCTTGTCTTGACTGCCTTATAAGCGGCCCTACTGTGTGTTATGCTGTCGCCTTATTTTTCGTGTCTTTGATCTTGCGCTAATTCGGTGTTGTGTTGATGAAGCGCATCGACTCGTTTTGCTGTTTTTTTGTTTTTGTTTTCAGCGGGCTATCATTTTTTAACATCCTAACCTTGATGAGAGCAATGTTGTGAGCCAATTCTAGGTGTCTCGCTTTCAATCATTTAGAATTTTGAGATTTTTGTGGAAAGTCAATTTTAAAAAATTAACATCATTTGTCGTGCGCTGGACTGGAAGCCGGTGGATGTGTGCTGCGTACTTTGCACACGTGGCTTTCGGTGTCATTTTAATTTCGGTGGAGAATTCAGGCACCTACATTCGGATTACGCCTAAAAGGCACTACATATAGAATATGCACTGTATGTGAAGGGCAGGCTGGTCACCTAATTCTACATTACACCTGAAACCTGGCAGGTCCCTGGCACCGAAATTTAAATACACCTAAAACTACATGATATACAGTACTTTGCACATCTGTGCCTTACAATCATACCATACCAATACACACATATTCTGTCCCCCGTGAATTCCGCGGATTGCAGAATTTCCGCAGAATCCAGTAGTGTCCGCAGAATTCTGAAAATCCCGCGGAATATTGCAGAAAAGAGAGAAAAAACTGCTTTTTCTGGAGACTTTCAATGTATTTTCACAGCCAAACCAACCTGCTTGTGACTTTCTAAATCAACTTGCAGTATATTTTAGAGCTTTCAATTTTTTTAGACCAGGATTTCGCAGAATTTTGGTTCAGAATTTATAGGGACAGCAAACTTCGGTGGGGTTGCGGAATATTCGATCTGCTTTACGCTCATTTTCCTTGCAGAATTACCGCAGAATAGAGAAGGATTTGCAGAATTAGCGCAGAATTTACTGTTTACAGCCGCAGAATTCTGCACGGAATTTCTGATATTCTGCCGCGGAATTCACGGGGGACAGCATATTCTTTGCCTTAATCATACCATACCAATGCACACACATGCACACATGCAGAGAGAGAGTAAGTTAGTTACATTTATAAAGACATGTTCTGAAGACAGTATGCAGTGGTGTGCGTTCTGTGTGTTTTCTGTGCGTTCTCTGTGTTTTCTGTGCGTTCTCTGTGCGTTCTCTGTGCGATCTGTGTGCGCTCTGTTCTCTTGTGTATTCCCTGTGCGATCTGTGTGTTCTTCATGTACTGTGCAGAAGACTCCAGATATTGTAGAATTTACGAGTGTCACTATTATTTATCTACTGTGTTTATTCTATATTTTGTTAATCCTTCGTTCTTCCGAGAGCACAGTCAAAGCGTTTACTAGGAGTTAGGTACTAGTACATCACTGATTGTTACAAGCAGTTTACAGGTTACAAAACAGCTGGTGTTGTTTCTAAGTTGATTATCTCGAATTTGAATTGTTACTTATCTTTGCATTCCTTCAGAAAGTCCGTTCTGCAGCTCTAGTCCGTCCAAGTGTAGGTTCTGCTCTGACAAGGCTTGCCTTCACCCTGTGGGTGCTAACACTCTCTGACAGGACATGGTTGAAATTGCTTTGAGTTCCTATCAGCACAGATTATCGTTTTCCTTGTTCTTTGAACTTCCTTTGACTTCTACTTTCGAATTTCACTGTTTGTATTATTTTCTGACTTTTCTTGATTTTCCATTATTTTTGTCCACTGCGTGCCAGTACAGCTTGTGTATCGTCATGGCAGCGTGACATCATTGTTTTTCTCATATGCATGCACGTGATCTACGCATTTCTTCTTTGGAGCGCTGTGTGCCACGTAGCTTTGCGTGCGCCAGTGTCTTCGTTGTTGAGAGTTCTTGAGAAGACGAGCAAGTTGTCGTTTCGGTTTCTGATGTGCGGTGGAAAGCGTCTCCACGCGTACATTATCTGGTAGCAGAGGATGGTTAGAGGTTCAGTTTAGTTTAGTTGTAGTGTATGTATCAAATTTAGTTGTACCATGGACGAACTACGATCGGCAAAGATTCGAGTGAAGTCCAATTTCACGAATATCAAACGTGGAATACTGACAAAGCTGCACAGTGAGACCACGCCCATAGACGCCAGAGACCTGAACGCTGGGATAGATGCACTGAACAATGCGGCAGAGGAGGCAGTGCGGGTGATGCTTGAGCTGTGCGAGCTGATGAGAGCTGCAGGTCGGCCAACTGAGGCAATATACGATGAGCTGGACGAGCTCCAAAGCAAGTACGATAACGTGTTGGAGCAGGCCAGCGAAGTGCTCGCCGAGATATGCTCCGCGCGGCCCAGTCGTGGAGGGAGATCTCCAGCGGGCAAGGAGAGAGCCCAGAGAATTAAGGAAGTGCGGGATCTGCTGCAAAGATCGGAGATCGTTGCTGAGAGCGAGGCTGACAAGGAGGAAAAAAGTGAACAGGCACCAGAAAAAGAAAAAAAAGAGAAACTTATGCATACTGTGCCGAAGCGAGAACCGCACCAGGGACCTGTCGGTCTGGAGTCAGGACTCTTACCGAGTAGTCTATCTGGGTCGTCGGCACCGAGTTCCTTGAGTGGGACTGCTGCCAGCTCGGGGACTGCTGCCAGCTCGGGGACTGCTGCCAGCTCGGGGACTGCCGCTCGCGCTCCGAGTAGCAGTAGTACTAGTAGCAGTAGTACAAGTACGTCGGCTAGTTCTGTGCCTGCTGCGGCTCCCATCAGTACGTCCGCTAGTTCGGTGCCTCCTGCTGCTCCCATCAGTACGTCGGCTAGTTCTGTGCCTGCTGCGGCTCCCACCAGTACGTCGGCTAGTTCTGTGCCTGCTGCCGCCTTTAGTAATAGTATGTCGTTGAGGTCTGTGCCGGCTGTTGTAACAGCTTCAAGGGGCATAACCTCGGTTGTAAACTCGGGTCAGGCTGGACCACTGACAGCCAGTGGCGGAGGCAGAGCCACCAGTCAGCCTGTAAGAGCACCAGTGACCAGTACTAGCCTTCCGCCAGCAGTGTCAGCACCGAGTGTAGTGGCACCAGCACCGGTAGCAGCACCAGCACCATTCGCAGCACCAGCAGCGTTCACAGCACCTGCACCGTACGCAAACTTTCCACCAGGTGGAATGGTAGAGCCATGGCGGCAGATGCCACGAGTCGGCATTCCAGTTTTCACCGGAAACCGCAAAGAGTACGAGCAGTGGCGAGCTGCCTTCAACGCATGCGTAGATGTCTCGCCAGCCAACGATGCGTACAAGCTGCTGCAGTTGCGTACTTACCTGAAGGGCGAGCCGCTGGAGACGATCAGTGCCCTCGGGTACTCGCCAGCAGCTTATGCAACGGCAAAGGCGAAGCTTGAGCGCAAGTACGGCGGCAGTCGAAGACAAATTGCTCTGCAGCTGGAGGACATTGAGAGAATGCCAACCGTCCGCAGTGGTCGCCAGCGCGAACTGGTGCGGTATTCTGAGCTGCTGGAGATCGCAATAGTAAACTTGACAGATGCAGGGCGTTCCCATGAGCTGGGTCCGGGAACTCTGTATAACCAGCTGCTGCGAAAGCTGGATGAGAAGCTGATCGCGCAGTATCAGCGTTGGCTATTCGTGCAACAGCAGCCAGAAACAGTCACCATATTAGCGGTGTGGCTGGAACAAGAGGCAGAGTTCCTGACTGTGGCAGCAGAAACGGCAGACGGGATCAGCATATCCCAGCCAGCAGCGTCAGCACACGCGCCTGCCAACCGGCAAGTCAGGCCAGGGTCTCACCCATACAACAGATCTTTTGTGGCTCGTAGCGGAAAGTCGTGTGAAGTATGCGGTGATGTCCATGGCGTGTGGCAGTGCGACCAGTTCAAAGGAATGACTGTTGCAGAGCGCTGGGTCAAGGCCAAAGCAGCGCGTCTGTGTTATCGGTGTCTGGCGAGTGGTCACCGTGGCAACGACTGTGAACGGACGAGAGTTTGCGGCGTTGATGGTTGCGACTCCACGCACCATAGGCTCCTGCACGGGCAGCAGCAGATCAAGAACAGAGATCCGCCCAAGGACAGACCAAGCACAAAGAAGCAAGGTGTGTACCTCGCCACTGAGGGGGAGGCGCAGGAGTCTCAAGCAGCAGCAACGACCATGAAAGCCAGTGGCGCTGGGAATTTGGCTTTGCGAACCGTACCAGTCATGATCGGCAATGGCAACAGACGTGTGCGTATCAATGCTCTACTGGACGACGGCAGCACGCAGACGTATGTCAGCGCCCGAGTAGCAGCAGAACTTCAGCTAAGTGGACCAAGCTCCAAGATATCAGTCGGAGTACTAAACGGACAGCGCTCAACGTACGACACCCAGGACGTCGGCGTGCAGCTCAGCAGCGTAGATGGCAGCTGGGAGCGCAAGATCCAGGCGAACACGCTACAGCAAATCACTGACGACATGCATGCAGTGAATTGGTCAACAGAGCAGCGGCATTGGCCACATCTCAAGGAAGTGACATTTGCCAGCTTGCCGAAGCGTAGAGAGGTAGATATGCTCATCGGCATTGACCAACCAGACATCCATTGTGCGCTGGAGGAGATACGTGGAGCTCCTGGAGAACCTGTGGCGCGTCTGACAGTGTTAGGGTGGACATGTGTCGGGCCCACGACGTCTTCAATGGCTAGATCGTCATTGTTCCAGTACAGCTATGCGGCAGGGGTACGAGACCAGTCAGATGTAACCGCAGAGCTCAACCGCACGATGCAGCGTTTCTGGGAGGTGGAAGTGAGTGGTACCCACCAAGATCCAGTAATCGCACTATCTGTCAGTGACGCAGCAGCTCTGCAGACAGCAACATCGTCACTAACGCAATCGGCAGGACGGTACCAGGTAGCTATCCCCTGGACGGAGAAAGTGTCAGAGCTCAGCAACAATTTCGGCATGGCAGCGCAGCGGCTGCGTAACACGGAGAGCCGACTGGCGAAGAATGAGACAGTAGCGGCAGCGTACAACGGCACAATCAAGGCGTACGCTGAGAAAGGCTACATTAAGGAAATACCGTATGATCCAGCCGACACATCCAGCTGGTATTTGCCTCACTTTCCGGTAGTTCGGATGAACAAAGACACCACCAAGGTCCGGATCGTTTTTGACGCCGCAGCAAAGCACCGCGGCATCTCGCTGAACGATGCAATTCATCCTGGGCCAAAGCTGCAGCAAGATTTGTTCTGCATCCTGCTGCGGTTCCGCAGTCGATCGGTGGCACTTGTGTGCGACATTCAGGAAATGTACCTGCAGATTGAAGTGGCTGAGAATGATCGTCAGCGTCTACAGTTTCTTCATCGCGACGAGCAGCAGCGCATCAAGTGCTATCAGTTCCAGAGATTGGTGTTCGGGCTGAATGTGTCACCGTTCTTGGCACAGTTCGTTGTGCGGGAGCACGCCCAGAACAATGCCAACCAGCTTCCACTAGCGGCCGAGTCAGTACTGAAGTCGACGTACATGGACGACACCCTCGACTCTGTGGATGATGAAGTCACCGCCATGCAGCTATACGAGCAGCTGACTCAGCTGTGGGGCTCAGCGTCAATGAAAGCACGGAAGTGGCTGTCGAATTCCGAGGAGGTATTGAAGAACGTGCCGATCGACGATAGAGCCTCAGTAATCGACCTGAGCAGCAGCGAACTACCGGCAACGAAGACACTCGGAGTGGCATGGTCCGCTCAGGACGATGTGTTCTCCTTCAACTTCAGTCCGGAGCATGAACAGTCCGTCACGAAGAGAGCATTCCTGAAGAAACTGGCGACAGTGTTCGACCCCCTCGGCCTCATCGCACCGTTTGTTGTTCAGGGGAAGATCCTGATGCAGGATATCTGGGCAGCAGGTCTGGACTGGGACGACACGCTGACGCCCACACTACTAGCAGCGGCCACAGAGTGGTTTCAGCAACTGCCTCATCTCACCAAGGTAGCAGTTCCTCGTTGCATTCGATCACCCGGCAGTGACGATGTGGAGCTGCACGTATTCGCTGACGCATCCAGTGTGGCGTATGGCGCGGTTGTCTATGCCAGAAGCAAGAGCAGCGACACTGTCCAAGTACGATTGGTAGCCGCCAAGACGAGAGTGACACCGCTCAAGGCCACCAGCATTCCGCGTCTGGAATTGATGGCAGCAGTGATTGCAGTGGAATTGGCAACCTCAGTGACATCGGCGTTGCAGTTGAGTATGGACAAGGTGGTCTTCTGGTCAGACAGCATGGACGTGATCCACTGGATTCGAAGTGCCAGTCGAAAGTTCAAGCCATTCGTTGCCCATCGTATTGGACTGATTCAGACGGCTACGCTACCTCAACAGTGGCGGCATGTACCGACAGCGAGCAATCCAGCGGATCTCGCGTCACGTGGTGCTACGGTCTCAGCATTAATCAAGAGTTCATTGTGGTGGGAAGGTCCGTCATTTCTCCACAGTGACTCAGCCGACTGGCCGACATTGCCAGCAGGTCCACCGACAGCCCCGAGCGCTGAAGAGTTTAAGCAGAGCAGCGCAGCGGAAGCAGTGAGCTTCGTAACTGTTGCACAGCCGCCAGGATTTCGCCTGAAGCCCGAGCGATATTCCGATTGGTCGCGTCTCATGCGAGTGACAGCGTGGGTAATGCGCTTCATCGGCAACTCCGCTGGCCGGAATCGCATCACAAGTGAACTGACAGCAGCGGAGATCAGTGACGCCGAGCAGTTGTGGATCGCGCAAGCTCAGAGCGAGGCGTTTAGCGACGAGCTGAAGAGTGTGCGCAACAAGCAAGCAGTGCCAGCCAGATCAGCGCTACTGAAGCTCAACCCCAAGGTCGACGCAGATGGGTTGCTGCGATGCGACGGCCGGACGCAGTACGCCGAGTGGCTGCCACACAACGTGAGATTTCCAGTGATCTTACCACGCAATCATCACGTCACACAGCTTATTGTGAAGCACCATCACGAGCTGCAGCAGCATGGCGGCACGAACCAGACGCTGTCGTCGCTAAGCACAACGTTCTGGGTAGTGTCTGCCCGTGAAGCAATTCGAGAGTGGGAGCGTGAGTGTTCGGTGTGTCGAAGAGAGAAAGCCAAAGCAGCGGAGCAGCAGATGGCGCCTCTGCCCAAGGTGCGGCTATCACCACCATTGCGGGCATTCGCTCGTACAGCTGTGGATTTTGCTGGGCCATTCGTGACAGTCCAAGGCAGAGGCAAGCGGCGAGAGAAGCGTTATTTGTGTCTCTTTACATGTCTACTCAGTCGAGCAGTGCACATTGAGATGGCGTACGGTCTTGACACAGATGCCTTCCTCCGCGCACTGTCTCGATTCGTCGACAGGCGTGGTCTGCCCATGCAGATGTTGTCGGACAACGGCACTAACTTCGTCGGCGCCAACCGAGAGCTCAAGGAACTGGTTAACGCCCTGGACCAGAAGGCTGTACAGCGCTCAGCAGCCAACCGCGGTCTCACCTGGTCGTTCAATCCTCCGCTCGCTCCACACTTCGGTGGCGCTCACGAGGCGATGGTGAAATCCGCAAAGCGAGCAATCCAGCACATTCTGGGCAATGCAGATGTCAACGACGAGGAGTTGATGACAGCCTTTTGTGGTGCAGAGGGCCTACTGAATTCTCGTCCGCTGAGTTATCAGTCTGCAGACCCGAAGGATCAGACTGTGCTGACGCCAAATCACTTCCTGACGGGACAAGCGGGAGGTCGGTTCGCTCCAGAGTCGGTGGATGACACGCCGTTTCATCCTCGCAACCGTTGGCGAGTTGTACAAGAGTTAATCCAGCATTTCTGGAAGCGCTGGATGCAAGAGTGGGTGCCCGCCCTGAACCGTCGGACCAAGTGGCCGCATGCACAGAAGAGCCTGCAGCCCGATGACGCCGTTCTCGTACTGCAGTCGGACACTCCGCGCGGACAGTGGCCTCTGGGACGTGTGGTCAAGGTGTTCCCAGGAGCAGACGGCAAGGTACGTGTCGCCGAAGTATTGGTGGGCAGCAAGCGCTACACTCGTCCAATCACCAAGCTGTGCCCACTGGAGTTCTAAGCAGGGTTGATCCGTGTCTGATCAAGAGGGGGAGAATGTTCTGAAGACAGTATGCAGTGGTGTGCGTTCTGTGTGTTTTCTGTGCGTTCTCTGTGTTTTCTGTGCGTTCTCTGTGCGTTCTCTGTGCGATCTGTGTGCGCTCTGTTCTCTTGTGTATTCCCTGTGCGATCTGTGTGTTCTTCATGTACTGTGCAGAAGACTCCAGATATTGTAGAATTTACGAGTGTCACTATTATTTATCTACTGTGTTTATTCTATATTTTGTTAATCCTTCGTTCTTCCGAGAGCACAGTCAAAGCGTTTACTAGGAGTTAGGTACTAGTACATCACTGATTGTTACAAGCAGTTTACAGGTTACAAAACAGCTGGTGTTGTTTCTAAGTTGATTATCTCGAATTTGAATTGTTACTTATCTTTGCATTCCTTCAGAAAGTCCGTTCTGCAGCTCTAGTCCGTCCAAGTGTAGGTTCTGCTCTGACAAGGCTTGCCTTCACCCTGTGGGTGCTAACACTCTCTGACAGGACATGGTTGAAATTGCTTTGAGTTCCTATCAGCACAGATTATCGTTTTCCTTGTTCTTTGAACTTCCTTTGACTTCTACTTTCGAATTTCACTGTTTGTATTATTTTCTGACTTTTCTTGATTTTCCATTATTTTTGTCCACTGCGTGCCAGTACAGCTTGTGTATCGTCATGGCAGCGTGACATCATTGTTTTTCTCATATGCATGCACGTGATCTACGCATTTCTTCTTTGGAGCGCTGTGTGCCACGTAGCTTTGCGTGCGCCAGTGTCTTCGTTGTTGAGAGTTCTTGAGAAGACGAGCAAGTTGTCGTTTCGGTTTCTGATGTGCGGTGGAAAGCGTCTCCACGCGTACAAGACAGGTAAGTCTAACAAATGAGGACTGAGACCTCTACAACAGGGTTTTTACGCCTGAAAGCAGGTGCATGATGTAACAAGCAGGTTGTCAGTCTAGATTTTATGCGCAGATGGAGAAAAAATGCGCAGAATTTTTGTAATGAGATGAAAAGCAGAAATAATAAGAAAAGAGAGAGAGAGAGAGAGAGAGAGAGAGAGAGAGAGAGAGAGAGAGAGAGACAGAGAGAGAGAGAGAGAGAGAGAGAGAGAGAGAGAGAGAGAGAGAGAGAGAGAGAGCTCTCACTCACACACATGCACACACATGCGCGTGCACACACACACACAGACACTGTGATTCATGCAACGACGTACAACGTTCGGCAGCAGTATCTTGGCAATGCATCTATTGCAGCTAGCGCGAGCATTTTCACTTCTTGAAATGCAGCATGTGTGACACAGTCGTAGAGCGTGTGTGTGTGTGATACTCACATGACATTGTCGATGTCATGTACTTCCCCCGTAGTTTACGTACGGAAGCATCTTTGCCGAGCACTGCAGCGTCAGAGTGCATATTATACAGATAGGGAGTGTACAGTACTGCCGGGCGCCGAAGAACGGCCAGGCTAGAATTTCATCAAGCACAGCATACCAATGATTACTGTAGTGTCGCGTATAAAAGCATGACCTGTATAAAAGCATGACCTGTATAGAAGCATGACCTGTATAGAAGCATGGCTCGAATAGAAGCCGATTTTCCAAAGCGCGCCGTGACACACAATGTACACTGTACAGCATAGACTGAAGATGTTGACGTAGAAGCATGTTTTGAATAGAAGCATGGTTTGAACCCCGGCTTATACGGCCGTATTAGCACCTGCTTTTATACGCGACATTACGGTATGTATACACGGTGACTCAACTGTGCATAGCCTGTAATACATGGAAACAAGAACGGTCTAGGCTAGGAGGCTGACACCCCAGTTCTTCGACGACCAACACTACTGTACTACTGACTGTACTTGCAGCAGCGATGCCGCTACTTGTACTTGTACAGGGTTCAGCACCACGACAGCGGTGGCGGCCACTGCACAGCGGTTGCGCAACGACACTCGATGTGCGCAGCATGCCTGCAGTGCTGCCATGACGACGGCGGTGGCATGGCCGCCGGCACTGTTGCTATGCCGACAGTGGGCGCTGCCGGGACGCGGCAGCATGCACCCGTCACATCCACTCATGATTGATCGTGCTGTTGTTGCCGTGGTTACAGTCTGTCTGCGGGTCTGCCCGCCATGCGGAATGGAGTAGCCTGGGGAAAGCGCACACGGCGCTTTGGTCCGAGATCAGTTCACGGATTGCAACGAAGACGACTGAAGACCACTCGCCGTGTGACACAGCTGCACTGTGCCACCACGTACCAGACGACCGAAGACCACTCGCCGTGACACAGCTGCACTGTGCCACCAGCAGAACCAGCTAGAAAATGCAGTGTGTGCGGCCAGCTGTTATTCAAGTCCACGAAGAAGAATTTCTGACTCAAAATCAAAATATTTCCAGCTGGCCAGCTACTATAATAATATTCTTATAAATATTGGCAAATGTCTACTAGTGTGTTCAGCTTACTAGTATGAATGCTGCCCAGCGTCACTACTATTCCTTTTTTGCCTTCCACGAGGAGACTTGTTGCAGGAATGAGCAGGCTACGTGGAAGTCCCACCGACGGCCCGACCAGCCTTCTAGAAAGCCGCAGTGACCACCGTGATCGCTAAGGATGAGCAGAGAGTCCTTCTTGCCGCCAATGACGTCAAACGGAATCATCTTCGCCGGTATGACGGGATCGTCTCGCGAATGAATACACGCAAACGGCACGTCGGCGCGTTGGAACGAGGACAGCTTCTCCTCGAACCCAACCAACGCCGGAAAGGACTCCGCACCGTAAATTCTCACGTCAACGTTTGTGTAGTAGTCCACGCATGTTGACGTGCGACGCACCTCATCCAGGTCAATGCATTTTCCCAGCGCTCTTTTGTTCTTCTCCACAAAGTCCTTCAGTCCCTTAAGCATATAGTAGCTGTAAGGCCAGACGAGGCAACCGCCCTCAAACAGTTGTCTAGCATCAAAGCCGTGCGACACGCACACCACTCCATCCAGGAGATGGTCGTCGGGATAGTCCATGAGGTAACATGAGGCCTGCGCGGCACCAGCCGAGCATCCCACCAGGAAGAGAGGGGCGCTCGGGTGGCGCGACTTAAGCGTGGTGACGATGAGGCGCACGTCGGTAGGATCCGTCAGCGACATCAGCCTGGGCTGCAGGAGGTCAACGCCCTCGGCATGGCCGCGCTTGTTGACACCGACGGCACGCATGCCATGCTCCATGGCCACACGGGCACCGGCTGCCACGTAGCTCGAATTGCCGTTTATTCCGTGGAGTATCAGGCATATCGGCGTGCTGTCCTCGCTGTCCGCGTGCGTACCGTGTTGTGTGGTGGCGGCATCCGATTCCGCGCACACCCAGTCCAGCACCACCACGTCGCCATCGGGAGTGTTCAACAGCTCGCGGCGGAACTTCACCGTCGAGTCCATGCTGAACACCGTCGATCCGAGTATGGTCTGGCTGAGCGCGCCCGGTGCCCAGGGAGTTGGCACAAACCCGTCCAGTGCCGAGCAGGCTTTCTTGAATGCGTCCAGCCACTCCGGTGGACTGCCGTTCCCGTGGACCAACTCTACATTGCTGCGGCAAGGTAGAAACAACGTTCTAAGTGTATGCCACACTACACGCACTGGATAGGTCAAAGCCAAATATACAACATCCATGTTCAACGCTGCTCTATTACCGGAACTTCGCGCAGATAAAGCAGCTCAGCCGTGAATCAGTAGATTTTCTCAACGGATCGTCGCCATCCGACTCGATGGCGAGTTATTGATGCATCCAACTTCCAAGCCGCGCAAGATCGTCTGCGCTGGACTTGTATCCCAGGCTAGGTGCGAACATGCAGCGCTAGCGGCACGAGGCAACACTAGCACTCGTCAACATGCACCGGGCTGTGAGGTGTCGTGTCGAGCTAGCTTGGCAGTACGAGATCCGCGACGAGGTCATTCATGAGTCTCTCTCTCCAAATAAAAAACTTAGTTTGTCAAAATAAAACGGTCCCATGCAACGGCTAGCACTCCTTGCAACAGCAGTCAGCGGGCAGTGCGCTATGTAAGCAATATGCTTGCGAAGACTAAGCTGCAGGCAGTGGCTTGGCGACGTGGATATCTCAAGCGAGGCAAACCTTTACTTTAGTGTTGCCCTAGTCGATATACAGTACCAGTACCAGTATTTGGCAGTATTTCAGGATGTCCTGGACTAGCTGACAGTGCAGTGGGCTACGCTAAGCAGGAAATCCTATGTCATACCAGTATTTGGCTGTATCACGTCCAGACCGGCCAGTATGGAGCCGTAGAGATATCCAAGCAAGTAATTGTAAGTAAATAACATGACTGTTTGCAGTACCGCTAATGCAATGCTGGACTAGAAAATTAATGGTGAACGCCCCAAAAATGTGTGCTCACTGTAGAGGAGACGGCTCGATACCGGGACGTTTTGACAGCCAAATTTGTATAGACCCACTTGAACCGATCATCAGCGTTGATTTTTCACTCGAAATATGTTTGTGGAAGGAAACTGGCATGTTGAAGTTTGCTCTGGGGCCAGAGTCAATCGAACTGAGCCACTGCACTCCTTTGTGTTGACCCATTGCCTCCAAGTTGCCCAATTTTTCGCTTCAAAAAAGTTCAAATCAGAGGTGGCTCCAAACCGGACACGTTTTAGAGTGCACGTCAAATTCACTCTGGGTCTGAAATTAGGTAATTGCTATCGCTCCACGACGGCCAGTACAGAGTAACAATAAGCCTTGTGTGTGCTTCCATTAGTTTTGATTGGTATGCGGTGCTTTATTGGCGAGAGGCGAGCCGCTGTTTACCTGCGACAAGAAGTTGATTTTTCGAAAGTCGTAAAACTCAAGTCGCAGTGCGAAGCAACACGTCAAAAACTCACCTGCTTGATATGGCGCTTCTGGTCATCGCAGAGCCATGAAATTTTGGCTCGGAGTATAACACATAGTAGTCTCACTGTGACATATGTTTTCTAATCAAAATACCAATAGAGAAAGTGAATATTGAGTCCGTTCCGGTTTGCAACCGGTGTCCTATTTGAAACCGTCCCCTCTACCAGCACTACTCACTAGCACAAGGCCTGTCAAGGGTACAGACTCAGTACGCTATTCTTGTAGATCTACTACTACTACTACTAGTACTAGTACTAGTACACTAGTACATGATTGTATGCATTGAATGAAAAAACACTCGCGCGTCTCTTATCCGGGCACCTTGGGACCGGGCACTGCCCGTATCTCAGATTTGCCCGTATATCAGGATAACTCATCTGCCATGTATCATTATCATTTTTTGAAGAAGTTTATTTGGCACGTAATGCACAATGTCATGTTCAGGCTAAAGAAAGAATCCATTGATAAGAATGTGTGGATTTCACAGGTTGGCAGTGACAAATAAGCACTTGCGCATACGAAAAAAGCTCAAACCCCCCAAATTCAAGGCATTTTTCCCATAGGAACTCAAGAAGAAGGTGCCCGGTAGAGAGACGTGCCCGTATCTGAGGCGTCCGGATAACTGAGAGGCGTTGAGTGTAATCGATACTGATTACTGTGGAAGTGGTGGTGCATCTGCTAGTATAGTGTGGCGGATAAGTCTGTATCAATGATTGTATGAAAAGTACTACTGCCAGTGACTAGTAGATCTACATGTACATGTATATTACTAGTGCCAGACCAAGAGCATTATTACTTGCCATTACAGTACATTTTGTAGAGCAAAGACTTACTTGACCAGGCTGAGAGCCAGAGGCTAGGATAGATGTGTGTTTTTTTGTAAAAAAAAAGAAAAAAGTGGAATATTTCCACAGTGATTTTCTCCGAAGATACCCTGGTCATACCCTGGTCGTCATCATTATTATTGTGTTGCCTTTGCCCTGCTATGATTCATGATGACCTATCCAAATTCCAAACATGGTTGCATCCCGTGGGGTCGGTTTCATGTAGATGTAGATGTGGAGCTGATAAAGTCAGTGATAGGTACATGTAGATCTCAGTCTTAGAGTCTTAGAAAGCCCTTGCGCGACCCCCCCCCCCCCCCCCCAGGCGCGTGCCCCGTGTGGGTTCCTGGGTGCCCGGAACCCCCCTTTTTTCCGCTCAAAATGCAGGATTTTGCTTCTTTTTTCGAAACTTTTCCCCGAGGGAGGCCCCCCTTGAAGGGCACCGGCGCACGCGCCTGCTGCCCCCCCCCCCCCCCCCCCCCCCTGTCTAAGAACACAGGAGACAAGGCCGGGTCGAGAGTCATACCTGGACAAGAGGGTGAAGCAATGCAATGGGCACTGAGTGCGGTTGGGCTTTCAGCCGTTTGCACGCCGGTGGCCACCGGGGCTCATCCAACCACTGGTCTCTGACGGACTGGTCAGACTCATAGCCGCACAGATGCATCTTGGGAAGAAAATATGGAATGATAGTGAGTAATCGCCCTCATTTTCTCTGTACTGCGCTGATGAGTCCACAAAGGACGAAACAGCTCTGTCCGCAGATTGAGAAATACAAGTATAGTATTTAAAGGAGAGAGAGGGAGTGTGTGTGTGTGGGGGGGGGGGGGGATCATTGGGATGATCACACCACAGGGTAAGATGTAGCCATTTTGTAACGAGAAGGGTATTTTATACAATGTACAGGCAGAGGCACACTAAAAGTTACCGATAAAATCAACGGGTAGGGTGACTGTTAGAATGTGACCAGTGGAAATGAATCACAACTTCAAATTTGATAACACTGTAAAGTCTACAAATTTTCGGCCAGTTCAAATTTCGGCCTCCCAGGGATAAACTACATTTTGGCCGCATTTATTTTCGGTCTGTACGCTCGTACTGCTGCCGTTGGTATACACTGGTCTGCGAACAAGTTACACGTACCGTACTGTATACACCACACTGCCAGTTGATTCCGGGCTGAGTTTAGAAACATCCTTCACTGATATGTTAAAACCTTGAAGGTTTGGAGGTGCCTTACGGTTCTTGTTCCACTGGGGAGGTCTGGAGGTGGGTTCAAGTGTTCCGGGACTCTGCACTGAAGATGGTTGTTCCAGGGTGTCGGTGATGGATCATGGCTTCTAGTTAGAGGGCTGGGCGAGGGGCCTGAAGCTGGAACTGAGCCATGGTACTCCTGAATAAGAAGCTGTTGCTGCCGGCGTGCAAGCTGGGCTGGGGCTTGGTTGGTGGTAGAGTGTCAGGACTGCCTCAGTGAACAGCAGGGCCGGCCGGGAACCGGTCAGGCTGGTCCGGCCATGGCCGGACCACTTTCCCAGCTGGATGGTCCATGTGATTCGTGCAAAACCGATGTAAAAAAATCCAGAGGTACATGACTCGACTGTATTGCTGACGTGTGATGTGCTTCGAAGTAGCTCAGGACTCCGTGACCGGCACTGTTGGCTGATATGGATAAAAAAAAGTTGTGTTTGTGTTCTTTTACTATAATTTTCTGCATTTTCTGGAGCCTTAGAGCAGGGCATAGATTAACGGCCGGACATCGGACATTTTCCGGCCATTTTCGGCCACTGACTGGACGTTTTCAATTTCACCGGACATAGTGTCCGGTAAAAAAAGTTTTAAAAAAAGAGCAGGGACCTTTCGACCATTTTATGCAGAGTTAGGCTTTCTTCGGAGCTTCGTGCCAAATGCGACTTGCATATCGTACAACTAACACGTACACCGTAGTCTCAGGCGTAGACTTCACTATATTTACTTGATCCGTCTACTTAAAAAAAAAAAAAAACACCCTGAAAATGTGTTGTGGAAAATGTCCGGGCATATCCGGACAGATTTCAAAACGGTAGGACATTTGTCCGAGCTAAATGAAATCCTTAAAAGCTATGCCCTGTTAGAGATGCCCAAATTCGCTCTATTTCACGTAAATTTTAAATATTTCTCCCGGGGGACGTCCCCCGGACCCCCCTCAAAGGTTCGCCGGACCACTCCTAAACTCCTTCCTCCGGCCCTGGAACATGTGGTGGGGCTGTGGAGGAGTTTCCAAGAACATGTACCCGGGGTGGATCAATGCACCCAAGCCCCTACCCGGACAATGTTCTTGCTAACTAACAGGGACTAGGTTACTTCTACATCATGTAGATCGACTTGTATGTCTGATCAGTGAGTAGTACTGTGACGTACTAAGTGAGTTCCACTGTACATGTAGCATACTGAATAGCACCGTGAGAGTATACTTCGAAGTACTAGTAATTATAAGCCCCCAGCTTAACTCATGATACTATGATAGTTGTATGGGAGGGGGGGGGGGGATACATCCGGATTGACTGATGATTGCAGGTGGCTGTCTGAGCCTAGAGTTTCAAGAAGACCCAAGAGTCACTTATGTGAAGTTATGCACTAGTAATTATGGAGTCTGAGTGGGGAACCAGAGCTAGAAGTGCTTTAAAATACTGCACGCCTACTAGTACTACTGAGCAACTAACTTGTACACACAGTACTGCACTAGTGATCTAGTGAATCCATGCTGCTTGGGGAGTTTGGCTGTACTGTGTTTGTGTGATCATTTTGAAATATGCCACACCTCTCCGCATGCAATGGTGGTGGTGGTGGTGGTGGTGGTGTTTTATGCAATGACTATCAATTTTGGACCGTTCCAAGTAAAATGCCACACACCGCATCACGCTTTGGATCAGTGATCAAGCATATGATACTATGAAGCAACAATGCGGAGTACACTGAGTAGAGCTGTGGTGACTGTGAATCACAGTACCCAATACATTTGGCAGAGCTCGATGATTGTCTCCTGGTTGGGCTAAAGTAGACTGAGTCACACAGATACATTGTTGTGCCGTTCACTGGATCATTGCTAGGGTGCCTTGCAGGTATGACGTTGTAGAGGAAATTTTCGCACTGTAAAGGCCGAAGTGCAATATTGTGCCCACACAGTAGATACACCGTGCGCGGATCCGTGCCTTCGCGCATGCACAAGCTGTTCACAATCAATCCAACGCATTTTACAGGGTTGAAACAAGCACTTCCAGCCTCATGATGTGATAAAAAATGCGCCCACCAGTCATTCTTTAACTCGTGTTGAGGTTTGAAAGCACTGGCATACACATAGTCACCAAGTGATCTGCCCAAAACAATAATTATTAACTTAAATTCCCATCAACTCCCTAAAAGCCTCGTGTACACTGTAAGACGCGATACTTCGTAGGACACAACTGTACACAAGAATGCCACTATGCCATGTCAAATCAAGCTGAGTTGTACATTATTTGGCATTTGGCCTATTCACAGTACAGTGTAGTCCTGTTGAATTTCTGCACTGCCACTAGCTTGTAGTGCTAGGTGTGTCCTCGGTGCGGTCGCTTGCAGCCCTAGCCCGCTGCGAGACCAACGTGAGGAAGGTGCATGCAACATGATAATCCCAGCGGCGGCCCGACCAGCCCTCCAGGAAGCCACAATGTCCGCCGTGCTCCGTGATAAGCAGCGCACTGGACTTCCAGAGTGTCTGCATCTTGCTGATGGGTATCATCTCCTCCGGTACTACGGGATCGTCTACAGAGCTGATGCATAGCGTCGGCACGCTGCAGCCCAGGAAATCACCCCGCAGCGGGTTGCACGCGTCCCACAACTCGTCCGTATCCTTATAGTCGTACAGTTTAAAATCCACCTCGGCGTAGAACTCGTTGAACGTAGCGCACCGCTTGATCTTCTCCACGTCAATATGCCCCTTCAGGACGGCGCGGTTCTTCTCCACGATCCGCTTCATGCCTCGCAAGAGTATCCACCCGTACGGCCAGGGTACGGTCCCCGTATCGTTCGCAGAGAACAGCTTCTTGGAGTCGTAGCCCGGAGAAAGGACCGCGACGCCGTCCAGGTGATTGCCAGTCGGGTAGTCCTGAAGGTACGAGGCCAGCTGGCCACCACCGGCTGATGATCCCAGTCCCACTAGCTCACAGTTCGGGTAACGCTCCTTCAGCACCGTGCAGACGTGACGCAAGTCGCCCGTGTCGCCGAACGACAGCAGCTTGGGCTGTACAAGGTCGAGGCCGGGCGCCTGGCCTCGTTTGCTGACGGCCACGGCGCGCATGCCGTGCTGCAGCGCCACGCCGGCCGCCGACTCCATGTCGGACGAGTCACCGGACAGACCGTGGAACAGCATGCACACCGGTGCGTCCTCTTTGGGAGCGTCCAGTCCCCGCATGCTGGCCCAGTCCAGTGCCAGTTTGTCGTTATCCGGAGTGTCCAGCACTTCACGCTCGTACTTGACCCTGCTGTCGGCATCGTGTACCAGTACGCCCAGCACCGTTTGGCTGTGGCCGTCCGGTGCCCATGGCGACGGGAAAAACCCCTCTAGAGACGAGCATGCCGCCCGCAGCTCGACGAGCCAGTCCGGCGGCCCGTCTTCGTGATGAACGACTCTGGTGCGACTCCACTGAGGCGCCACCGGGCTCTTGATGGCGTTCCATAGTACACGCACGGGATAAGTCAGGAGCGCACCAATGGCGTCCATAGCCCTGGCAGGCTGCTTGTTGTCCTTGCACTCACTCTCCGAACACAGTACTTGAAACGACGCGTGACCAGAGACACGCAAATCTTGCTACATAACAGATTCTGGATGAGATATCACTAGTGCAGCGATTAGAGAGCCAGTACTACCTGGCTTGGCTACTGTATCGAATACGTACTGACGGCTCCTAAGTCACTGACGATTATCAAGTAACTGATGCTGTACTGTTCGTCACTGAGTTTTCCACTTCCCGAGCGCCCCCACTTCCTCCTGCCTGATCGGGTAATTGGAATTTATATCCTGAAATTGTAGTTCACCTGACAGCAGCTTTACGAGCGGAGAATTATGCCCCGCAATGTAGCCTATTGAGTCGATGATTGTAGGCCAATACTCTCGGAGGTACTAGGACTCGTACAGCTGTCGTACTGTGTAAACTGGTTCTGTTTGATCAACACCTGACCATGAACCGCTAACTACAATGTAGGTAGGTACAATTATCTTGTAACAATAAACACGATATTGCTAAAATCAATTATTTTCTGCAAGCTTGTGGGAAGTTCACGGTGCATTGTACATATGTGGCGAATCGCTTTGTTTTCTGCGCTGCTCAGATCATGCGCACGTGATCGTGAGCTACCATGGCTTACTTGTATTTTGTGAGCCTTTCTTCAATGCACTGGTGCATGCATGCTCGATGTTGCAGTTTTGTAACACCAAAATTCGTAATTATTACACCGGGTCATCAGGGTCATCGATACCTCAACTGGGGTTTGAACCGCAAATGATTATGTACTGTTCTGCAAGTGGAGTGCACGGGTTGGATTTTCATGGTTTTTCCCCAATTCAGTGCTTTGGGGGCAAAACCTGGCCGAAATCCTGTTCTTGTTATGGCTTGCTTTTTGGAGAAATAGACTTCAAAAACACAATTGGAAGAGCATTCCATGGGGGTTGCCAAAAAAATTGTGACAAAAACTCAAAATTTGACCCATTTATGGCCAAAAGCTAGGATATCATCTTTTTCTGAATGGACTGTAGTAACGTTAGTTACTGTACTACTTGTACTTTTTAACAATGGCCACCTGGCCACTAATCTGTATCAGGGAGTCGTAAAATACCGGTATTTTACGACTCCCTGATCTGTATGCGCATCCGTTTACACAGACATCTCAAACCGGGTTCGCAGTAGCGTTTCTTCAATAACGAAAACAATTGGTGGTTTTAAAACGTTAGACTCTGTGACTCGTTAGACTTTCCGGTCTTACAGTAGTTGTAGTCAGGAGCAGGGAGTAGTACCAAATACCAGTTGACTTTGTGTCCTGCTTGCTCTTTTCTTTGCGTTGTTTTCATCACTATTGATTTCACGATCTATTTCTTTTTGCCCGTATAAGAGACTTTAGTAGTATTGTACTACTCCCATGTTTTCGATTTTGACAGCATCACGGTTACAAAGATCGAAAACATGTCCACATCAAACAAGGCCGCAAGTTCTATACGATATACAATACTGGTATTGTACTACTTCCTGCTGCCGACTTCGAAAACCTGAGTTTATGTTATGTACGTGCACAGTCATGTCCTGAGTCCTGGGGGGAGGGGGGGGGGGTACTTCTAACCAAAGAGGAGTAAAAATACCGGTATTTTACTGCTCCCTGCTTCACAAAGTCATGTTGACTGTAAAGTGTGCTCGCTGTGCACACGTGCAATGGCACGCACATAAGCCTGCTTTTAGTGTTGACATACAATGCACTTCGAGGTACATAGAAATACCTGGCTTGAATAGAAGCCTGATGTGAATAGAGGGGAGGCATTTGATGGTGGACTAAACATCGATTTCTCTATTAGCCATTTCAGGTACATTTCAACCAGACAAACTGCTTTTCTTTGGAGTTTGACGAAATCACTTGCCGACTACGTTTTGTGCTCAGTGTACAGTGTACCAGGGAGTACAGTCTGTATCGGCAAGAGTACATAAACGGTTTTTGTACTCTTGGTATCGGTTATAGAGTGACCGGATATACGAATATATCGGCTACAGTGATATCGGTACAAAATATCAAAAGCAAAACGTATTTTATCCAGTAAAAATATCACTATAACCAATATTATCGGATGTAATGATAATTATATCGGATATTATGATGGCAGCAAAGAATCAAAACATGCACAACACACTACATTATTATCGGCTATAGTGATAACTTTAAAATACATGTAGCAATAATATCAAATACCGTAAAGTCTTGTATAAAAGCAGCACTTGAATAGAAGCCGCCCTCGAATAGAAGCCGCAATTTTGGGCCCATCAAATCACACATAAGCCTGGTTTTAGTGTTGACATACATAGAAATACCTGTCTTGTATAGAAGCCTGTCTCATAAATTAATAAATTAATAAAGAAGCCTGCAAAATTTCACCAAGAAAGTCATAGAAGCCGCGGCTTTTATACAAGATTTTACGGTATGTTTGCCGTTGCATTAACAAATTGTCATGTTGCGTGGTGATGTCTGCGGCATTCATACTTTTCATAGCTATTAACTTTCTTCACATTGCTTATTTTTATAGTGATACATGTACATGTACATAACAGAATTTTTTTATGGAAATGCGGGCACTGTCAACTATGCAGCATGCTCATTTGTCAAAACGCCATGCTAGATGCTGGAAGTATTTCCTTGCCTTTCAATTGTTGATCGAAAAAAAAATCGATCGTATCGCATATAGTGATAAAATCACGGAAATCAAAAGGGCACGCTATAGCCGATACAGACTGTACTTGTACAGTACTGCTCTATGAAATCCAGTCGCGTCACTCAAGTACGCGCCGGGCATGGTGCAGCCCTAGACCTGCGAACACTGGGCTGTGTAATGTTGCAAGGCGCGTACTTGAGTGACGCGACTGGATTTCATTGAGCAGCACTGCATAGTCATGTACATCATACATGATGCCCCCATACCACATGCGTTTCTTCCAGACTTACCAAGGTGACTACATGTGCATGTTTAGTTAGCGCTTTCTTGCCCACAGTTGATTCTTAGAGCGTATCATGAGAGCAGGGAGTTGTACATGTACGTGTATGTGTACCTTGTGATGCAAATCTCTCCCCCCCCCCCCCCCCCCCACAACAATAAAACAGCGATATAACACAGCACCCGGGGAGTTGGCTTTGTACCAACACCAATGCCGGGTGACACCGGTGGAGCCGGCCATGCTTGCAGTGCAACACACTCAGTGACTCCAGATTGAACTGCTGCACAACAGACCACCCTGACTAGATGCACATCAGCAATTTGATCTGGATCCCTGTCCAGATGGAAACACACGCATGCACACACACACACACACACACACACACACACACACACACACACACACACACACACACACACACACACACACACACACACACACACACACACACACACACACACCGTGATGAACAGATGCAAAGGATATTAGTGATGGCTGCCTTTACTTCTCGTTTTGAAGGCCAACACGATCAAGGGTACCGGGTATGATCGACTGATATCTTCAAAGCGTATAAATGCAAGTTTTTGACCAGTGCTTTCAGTTGCAAGTACAGGTTGAGTGATTGCTTGAGTCCTTGACATTGGGGGTTTGTGATATAGACGTTTAGTAACGGGTTCTAATCCACTGTTTGTTGAGATAAACAGCAAGAAAAAACCTTTGGCATTTGAAGGATCAGGGGTAAAGAGAATGGGGCGATGATAATGTTAGTGGAATTGTTACCATGGTTACTGTGTCTGTGTGGTGATCAGTCTCGTGAGCTTGGACTTTTTACCACCTTGAATAATTTTATTCATCAGCCTGCTGCATAATTTGAATCTCTTATGCATGAGCTTTTCTAACTCTCCTTGGGCAGAGTTATTTTCTACACCAAGGAAGGCTCCTCCTGCTCTGTTCTACCTCCCTGGTTTCAGCTCTCTTTGGATCACCCACCATCCTCCCTTCAAGATGCCTTGCTTTTGTAGACTTTCGATCTCCAGTGGCTATCATCACACAGAGTTGAAACCGACAGCAACCGACGAGTTGCAAGTCGTGGTTGGCCAACCCTAAACGCTTCACGTGCACACACACACACGGACACACACGGACACACACACACACATGCTCGCTCTGCAAACTTCCGCTAGCAGCATCAGCATCAAAATTGATACAACAAACTTGTCGTCAGGGAAACCGATGAGAAAAAATTAACGTCATGCATATATATAGCTACTAAAACATAGTGGGGGAAAGCTAGATAATGTGTAGTGACACCTACACGCGTAGAGAGCATGCACAAAGAGCACATGATTGAATGGCAAACATACACACACAGTTATGGTCTAAAAATGCTATGACTGTGCAGTATACACAAGTCTAGGCGAAAACAAAAAGGAAGAAAAGAAACCAGACAAGCTGACGACGACGAACAGCACACTAACGGCCGCCCACCAGGGCCAGCGAGACTCCACGTAAAGTTATCACATCAAGAAACTCAAGAAAATTTGCCCGGGAGCCAACCCCGCGCACATACACTTCGTACAGGTGCGATACACCCCAAAAAAATTAGTAATAATAAAAGCTAGAGATGGCGCAGCGACACCAACACGGTGTGATGCAAATGCTAAGTCAAAAAAGCGCTTCCAGTGTTTTTCATGCAAAGGCAACACTGTAGTTTTCGTAAGGATCTGCTAGTGAGGCATGCAAAGAAAGCAGTATCATGTTCTACAGACACCAGTATGGTTCAGTATTCATGACTGGACTAAAGGATTTGGACTAAGGTTTCTTTGGATATTTATTCTGTGCATGGGATAAGGTGAGCAGTATTCTGTGCATGCAGGGAGTAAGGGGGGGGGGGGGGAGAGGAGGGACGCCACTCCGTGCGTGTGTGTATGTGTGTGCATGTGTGTGTGCGTGCGTATGTGCCCATGACAACACTCGTACACGCACACACTGTACAAATACCGGCCAGCCAGCGGCAACAGTAACGCGGACACCAAGGTCCCAGGCTATCTTCTGCGAGTGGACGCACGTTTCACCTGGACACAATCACAACGCAGCCACAGGAAAGCAGAGCACAAATAAATGAATAAATCTTGACTAGTTTGAGGGAAAGACACAAACGGGAAAAATCTGAAGAAAAAATTGACTGTCACCACCAGAACTCGAACCAGGGACCCTCGCTTGTAGCTAGTGATAAATAAATAAATAATGCACTGGTAAATAATGCACTGGTGATGGGAAGCCGTCCGCCACTGTGACCACACATTCACATTGAGTTTCACTACAGTAAAAGTCTGCAAATAAGTACCTGCCCAAAATAAACACCCCTTCATTTTTCAGACTGTCTGTTGAACTCCAACTGGGCCTGATAAAACATACTGCCCGAAATAAGTACTGGTACGGTTCGCATATGTTGTGCGTACCATGTACATCTACGCACCATAGAAGTGTGCTATGGCAACACGGTTGAACGCACCATGGCAATACAGTTGAACGCACCATGGCAACACAGTTGAACGCACCATGGCAACACAGTTGAACGCACCATGGCAACGTGTCATGTGAGCAGTGGGGACAAATACACAATAGCTAACTTACATTTGGCACTCGGACACCAGAATCCTGTGAGAAACACACACACACACACACACACACACACACACACACACACACACACACACACACACACACACACACACACATACACACACACACGCACGCACAGCAACACATCAAACATGAAGAAGATACTGTTAGAAAATAGAAACCGAGAGCATGCATGAAGGCAAAGAGTGCATGAGAACAAGAGTGTGCAGCTTGAATAGGCTACTGTCACGGCGAAGTCTCTGGATTACATTGTATTGCAAGGAGCAGAGTGCACACGCAGGTAGGCTGCTGCACAACCACAGCTCAGGTGTACCAGTCCTGGTGATGTCCTAGATAGGACATCACGGAACCCAGCATGCCCCAGCATACATACTATGCTGTTCCCATAGTAATCGTGACACGTGACTCAAAACTTTGTGTCGCGTCCGAGGAAGATGAACATGTCGCACTCAAAACAAACGCAACGAAGGCCTTTCGTCTCAAAAGTAATTATTAGTTGGCGTTCTCCTGGCGGCTTGCCTCAAGCGAGTCGAGATTCGTATCTTGCCTCTTGCCTTCACGAATTTTATTTTCCTCGTTGTGGAGTACGCCTGGACAAAGGAAATGGCAAGCGAATCGTTTTGGTCGCATTGAAAATTGCAAGTGCACAAGAGGATTGGCGAAGCAATTTGTGTTCGCACTTTCAGCAGAGCAGTAGCTGCTGCTGCGATAAAGTTTTTACTTTCGCCATTGCCTTCAGGCCACAGAAGGATCTGGCTGAAAGCGATGGCGATACGTCCATGACCACCACGTCCTGGGTTGATATCCAAGAAAGACCGTCCAAGGTCCAGTTTTAGCCAAGAGCTGTCGTATCCAAGAAATCAAAAACGCCAACAGCAAGCTTTGGCCAAATAATATCTTCCAGGCAGTAATTTACGGGCCTAGCGCCTGCTGGCTCGTCTTCCTCCCCTGCATGGCCAGGTTTGGGGCGAAATGAACGCACGGGGCGTGAAGAAACATTCCAAAGGCAAAATATTCAAAATTAGAACCAATCGTTTCCAAAGAAGCGCCGCGTGGCTACGAGAAACCCCACATGAAATCCCCAAACGAAAACGGCCATTCGGTCGGGTATTCGATGGAGAATCGAATAATTATACACTACCTCAATCCCCGCCGATGTCTGATATTCTCCGCCTATTCCCTCAAACTTGACCAATTCGGAAAGAAATCCATCGCCATTACGATCGTGCATCCTCCACATACATTCAGAAATGCTCACGCAGCACTTCTTTTCATCGCGTGTGCGCGACCGACGCTTCCATGACAACTCTGGGACAGGTAACCAATCAGACTCATTCAGAGTGCGATGTCCTAGATAGGACATCTCCCCGACTGGTGTACACAGTACGTCACTTCCTGCCGCTGCTGTACTGCCTCTAGGCACCAACTAACACATGGTGTGATCCAGGAATTTCGCTTTGGCACACACCCTTACAGAACAAAAGCCAGTACCTGCACACTAGTAACCCTGGTTTCGTGTACTTTTGGTGAAGTGCATGTGAAATACAGGCTTCAGATGACACCAGGTGGAATACCCCGAGCATATGCACCCTGCACTGCAACACAACGGGTGGCAAACGATAATGGGCCCAACAATTCAGGACTCCGGGAAATGAATGACGACAAATGCGGAAAAAAAGAGAAGGTGTGTACAGTGTCACTGTGACACCGTCTCACACGACCACTGGAGAGAGAAAAAAATACACGCACGCCAGATTGACACCAAGTGCCATATGAGTGGACAGCTGATGACAGCCGCCTGTCACTTTCTTGCTTGGTCATGGTGCCCCCATCGGGAGTATATTCTGACCACTTAGCCCAGTGTGTATCTGCATGGAGCTGAGACTGGGGGTCGCATCCTAGTCCCTGGGGACGTGTCATTGGCTACAATACTAGCATCTTGTCAACAAGCCAACGCTCCATACATTCATCGTTTATGTCTGGTACATTTGCCGACACTCGGAATTTGTGGCCAGGCACAAGGGGTACATGGATGCGGCTAATGGGGTTTCTCGGCACTTGTGCCAGTGGTTGTGAGACTTATCCCCCCGCCCCCACCACCGTTAGTATAGGCGCTGCATCTGCCGCTAGGGTTTACCGGGTGTTAGCGGTTGTCGAGAGTTCCCTTTGGGACCGGACACGGCCAGTCATTATCACTAAGGCACACCACTGTGCACCAAAAGAACAATATCGAACAATGTACGGCAAGAACACGCTGAACCCGAAATGGAAGCAAGTCATTCCTGCTATAGAGGAGAGCAAGCAGCCGTTCGAGCATTGCTACAAAACACACCCTGCTACAGCCTGCCGCTACGGCCTGCCGCTACAGCTATCAAATACACTTACTTCTGATCCACCGCTCGTTGCTGCTGCTGCTGCTGACGTGGTCTTCTTTGGCGCTGCCCGGGCACGTTTGGCTTGTGGTGAGCTGCAGGAAGGCAGGGGCAGTACACAGTACAGCAATGCATACATTTGAGGCGAAGACAATTTTTTAACAGAGAAAAAAGAAAGTAGGCAACTGATATCGGATGTCGAAAAACCAGGTGCTTCACTAGACCGTGGTGGTGGTGAAGGTGCCAAAGAGATGATGAATTGGCTGCAGTGAAGCCTCCAGATATTGAAGAAAGTGCTTCACTAGCCTTCAGCGCTTCAGCCCAAGGGCAGCACACTAGTGTGTTCAGCGCATGGAAACTCACAACGGGCTAGCGACCAGCCAAGCCAGGCACATGTAAACACTATTGTCGGGCTGGAGCGCTCATTTCAGCCCGGGGCTGGAGTTGCACATACGATCATCACCCGCTTTATAGAGAAAGGGAAGGCCACCGCGTCACACCACGGGTGCATCGTCAACTGAAGTGAAGTAAGCTTTGTGAAAACCAAATGTTATGTCCTGCTTCAAGTACTTGTTTGCAAGGTATAGTACAGCACAGGTATCTATACAGAACTTGCAAATGTTTACAATCCAAAGTTTAAAAAAACAAACAGAATATTGAGGTAATTCCATGCATTCACCAAATGGTACATTACAAATTAAATCCCTTACCTGGCAGATTTGGTCTCGGCTGGCGCAGCGCCATCCGTTCCGTCCTCCATATCCTCGTCGTCATCATCATCATTCTCTTCGACTGATGCCAGCTCAGACATGTTGGTGCCGCGTTTTCGCTTCCCAGGCGACGCCGGGGCTGCTTTGTGTGCTTTCTTACGCGTGGACGTGGTGGCGTCCTCTTCCTCATCTCTGTCGGTGGCCGTGACTTTCAACTCTGCTGCCAGTGACCTCTTAGCACCAGCAGGAGCCGCCTTGGTGCTGGGGTGGGTGGGAGCGAGAGAGAGAGAGAGAGAGAGAGAGAGAGAGAGAGAGAGAGGGAGATGGAGAAAGAGCGCTCATTTAGCACAGTGAAGCACCACTGCAGTCACACGAGACGCAGAGCTGCACACTCTGGTTTATGTAGTATTGTACTCTTGCTAGAAGCTTCTCACTGCCCACACTGCCCACAGTGCCCATAGTGAGTACTCAGTACTCAATGCCCACAGTGAGTACTGAGTACTACTGAGTACCCAGTAGAGAGGTTCCGGGGTACGATTTTCCGTGCCAAAATCCGTATGGGCGCTACGGATTTTTTCCAGGGGTGCTCCATACGATTTTTCGGCACGGAGAATCCGTGTGGACTGGCTTTCATACGAACCATGTTTCGTATGGAAATTTTGCGTCATCGGGTGCAGAAAGATTTTTCGCGTACAAAGTTGGTACGAGGAACATCGATTTTTCGCGGGAAGTTTGGATTTCGGTACAAATTTTCAAAGTATAAAGGCATAGCGCGGGAATGTGACGTGTTTGCGATCGTAACCTAGGCAATGACGGCAAACACATAAGTTCCGTACTCCGGAACATTTCACTGCTCGGAAACGACGTATAAAAAAATCTGTAGAGCCTCTACGGATTTTGGCACGAAAAATCGTACTCCGGAACCTCCCTATTGCATGATAGTACAGTGTCCTTAGCACCATGCTACCCACCTCCATGCTACCCACCACCATGCTACCCACCACCATGCTACCCACCACCATGCTACCCACCACCATGCTACCCACCACCATGCTACCCACCACCATGCTACCCACCACCATGCTACCCACCACCATGCTACCCACCATCATGCTACCCACCACAATGCTATTGAACTCAATTTTCTGAAGTTTTTTGGGGACGGTTGGCGGTTTTCGTGCTCTGAGGATCAGCCTCAGCGGCACTCCTACAGCATCCCTTAAGCAGTGACCAAACCTTTGTGTACCTTACGATGTCACTTGATGAGAATCTAGACCTAGCCCTGGTGGGATTCAAGGACCTAATTGACCTGGGCGAGCGGAAATCAGTAGACCAACCCTCAAGCCTTTCTCGCCCGGAACTCGTCAAAGAACTCCGGAAGATGGGCGTGGGAGTGCTGCCGCAGCCAGCAAGTCCAAACGGTACGTTGGAACAATTGTCTAGCCTTGTATCATGTGTTTCAACCTTGTCCAAGGAGATTGTTATGTGGAGGGAAGATAGAGACAGCACAATGTTGGCCCTGAAATTGGAAATCCAAGAGCTGAGGCGTGAAGTAGTAGAGCTTCGTCAACAGAAGTCTTCCAAAGTCCAAGTAGCACCCAGACCCAGCCTGCCCAACAAAGCCAAATGTGTGCTGCATGCACCAGTGATACTTGTAGTTGTACAGTCCACACAGCCGACACACAATGCTGTGAAGCAGGGGTCACTGGCATATGTAGTACACAGCCGACACAGAACACGTGGAAAGAGGTGAACCATAGACGAAAAGGACGGCAGGACAAAATCACGGACAGCGTATCCAAAGCTCTGCGGGCTACTATAACCTCTAGGTACGTGAAGGAATCACCTAACACGGAACCTGCTGATCCGTGCGTCCTGACAGGGGTGGTGCCCATCAACAAACTTGTGCTCTACGTTGGAAGCATCAACAGCGGTTGCAACGCTCACTCCATCAGAGACTGGTGCGAAGCGAGGGACGTGGAGGTATTAAATTGCTCCGTCATGGAGTCGAAATACCTTGGCACATCGTATGCCGGAGTCACTGTGGCTGCAGAACATGAAGAGCGTGTACTAGACAGAGCCTTCTGGCCCGAAGCCATCAGCCACTCAGTACGCAAGTGGCGTTTTGCGGACAGCCCCAAAGTGACGAAGCCAGCTTCCAATGCGTAACCTCTCCCTCCTCTTCCACTTCAACCCCATGCGCCTCTCAACGCTCTTGCCCCACCTTTCTTCCCCCATTCTGTACATGCTGCTACTCACCGACTTACAATCTGTGTCCTTAATGCTCGCTCCATAGCAAACAAGTCGGGCGAACTCATTCAAATCTGTGAGGATCACACACCCAGCGTAATATGCATTACAGAGACCTGGCTAACTCCCACACAAGCTTTCCACGTGCCACACTATGAATGCTTCCGTCGAGACCGACCTGTTTTAGAAAATAGACAGAACCGTGACCCACACATGGGGTAAGGAGGAGTTCTAATCTTAGTTCGTGAAGGTCTGTGTACTTCCATTGATCAGCTACCGGATTTTCAGCAACCGGGCTTGGAAGTGCTAGCACCTTCGGCTTACACTCGCTGAACATAAGCTTGTCTCACCTTCTGACCTGCCAACACCCCACCTAACAGTAGCCTGTATCTACCGTGCTCCTTCCCCGTCGACGGATGACTTCTCGACTTTTCTCGACCGCTTCCAAATAGCCCTGCAATCAACTCAAAGGAAGCCCGAAGCCCTTGTGCTATCAGGCGACTTCAACTGTAGGTATTCCGGCTGGTGCTCACCTGACCAAACGGATGCACAGGGTCTGAGTCTTGACAACCTCTTCTCATGCTATAATTTGACCCAATCGGTAACCTTTCCCACCCACCTCCGCTCGAATGGACTTGGCAGCTGTCTAGACCTTATCGCGAGCAACATCTCTAACCAACTCAAGCACATTCAACACCTGGCTCCTCTTGGCGCATCACACCATGCCGTCCTGCTGGCTGAGTTTTCCTCCTCAAAGTCTTCCCCCACAGCAGCCAGCACCTGTCGTAGCCCACTATCTACACAAAGATACAATGTCCTGAGTGCCACGGATAACATGTGGAATGTCATGAATGTTTTTCTCGCAGATGTACCCTGGTCTCAGGTCCTTGCCTCCCACTGCATCTCCTCGGCGGAAATCACGCCACAAACCCTGCCCCTGGATGACTGCATCACTGAAAGCAGCTATTAAAGTCAAGAGTGATCTCTACAGCATCTACCGGAAATACCCATCCCCTACAAATTTCAACAAATACAAACACCAACGTAACTATGTAAAATGCCTTTCCAGATCCTGCCATCGCTGCTACATCCGCAACCTCCGTGCCACGATATCTCCCACAAACCCTCGCCTCCCATCCCTCCCTGTGCTCATCCGTCAACTGCGAAATCCTACCAGCGCCCGGGTCATACCTTCGAAGATGGTGGGCCCCAATGGTCGAACAAGCACCTCTCCGACATCCATTGGTAACTTATTGAACCGCCACTTCGTCAGTGCTGGCTTACAGGTTGACCCCGATGCTCCTATTCCCACTATTTCCTCCCTACCTCCACCAGCTACTACATTGCACTCCCTGATCATCACCTCATCGGCTGTTCACAAGTATATTGCAAGACTACCTCTGAACAAATCCCCCGGAGCTGATAGGATCACCAATGAGATCCTCAGGAAACTGAGCTACTCAATTGCCCGCCCACTCTCCATTCTTTTTAACCTTTCCCTCTCCTCCGGCACATTCCCGTCACGATGGAAGTCAGCCACTGTCATTCCAGTGTACAAAAATAAAGGCGACAAGAACAACCCGTCTAATTACCGACCAATCTCCCTCCTGTCCTGTGTCTCCAAACTGCTAGAGAGAATAGTGTACGACCGCTTGTATGACCATATCTCCCCTCTTCTTCACCCCGCACAATCTGGCTTCCGTCGTAAGGACAACACATCCCTGCAATTGTCCCGAAAATTCAAGACCTCTGCTCCCTAAAAGACCAGCGGCAGGTCTCCTGCATCTGTTTCTTCGACCTCTCCAAGGCCTTCGACACCGTGTGGCACAAGGGCCTGATCGCCAAACTTCGTGCCCATGGTGTCTCCGGCTCCCTACTCGCCTGGATAACTAGGTACCTCTTGGACCGAAATCAGTGCGTCACAGTGAATGGAACCTTATCTGGCCCCGAGTCTGTGACATCCGGAGTGCCCCAGGGCTCCATTTTAGGTCCCCTGCTCTTCCTCACATACGTTAATGACCTCCCCTATGCAATTCCCAATATTTCTTTGTTTGCAGATGATACCACTGTCCTTGCTTCCTCCCCATCTCACACCATCCTGTACCCCAAAGTTCAGACCTGTATCAACGACATTGTTCACTGGATGAGCACTTGGCACCTTAAGCCAAATGTGACCAAAACCGAGCTCCTCCTTTTTCCCCCTCCCACATATCCAGTGCCCATCTTCCACTTTCCCGATGATCCCGGTCACCCTATCTATGTAGCGCCCCACCATAAACACCTTGGCATTGTCATAGATTCCGCCCTCTCCTGGTCTCACCATGCTGATCATGTCTCGTCCAAAGTATGCCGATCTGTCGGCATAATGTCAAGTCACTTGTCCCATTTGCCCCAAAATTGCCGGATTGATTTTTATAAATCATACATTCTTCCCCTCTTCATGTACGGCTTCCCTGTCTGGTCCACCATTAACAAAACCCACATAGGTAAATTAGAAGTTCTCCATCGCCGTATACTGCGCATCATATTTCGTACTGATCGTTATATCTCAAATCTAGACTTGTATGCTGCTGCATCCACTACCACTCTGCAACACTACCTTGATGCTTCCAAGTGCACCCTGGCACATTCAATTTTTCTTGACCAGCACCCTGCTCATTTACAGTCACTTAATTGGTTTAAGTCAGGTGGCACCACCCGAAGCTGCGTTCGTCTCCCCCTAGCTAGGTCTACCCTATTCGTAAATTCCCCTTTCTTTTCCTCGTACTCCACGTGGCTCCAACTGCCTCCCAGTGTTAGACAAGCTCCAGATATGCCCAAATTCCGTACCCTCGTCAGACAGCACTTCAGTACATGTATCTCCCAGTAAACAAAATCACAGTCACCACTTCCGCTGCATAGCTCGCTGGGCATCCCATTGCTTTGTAAGTTGCTAATCCCTTCCCACTTTGTGTACGTGCTCTTCATTTTCTTTTTCTCTTCTTCCGTGGTTGGTCTCACCCTCTCCTCCATTCAATTGGCTGACTTGACATGCCACGAGGTGCAGAAATAAATAAATAAATAAACAAATAACTACCGTATTTTCCGGAGCATAGCCCCACCCAGATGTTTGTCACGAAATACAGACAGCTTCCCTATTTATCACCGTTAATTTGACCATTGTAGTATAAGAGGCGCACCGTCTTTTTTTGGGTGAATTACTAGTGTTTAAAGTGCGACTTATACTGCGGAAAATACGGTCCACAGTGAACCAGTTCAGTATAAACTGCACCTTGGCCAGGATGTAACACACTATGGCATAGGATACTACAGTGCTGGCAACTGAAATCCGACCACTGAGTGGTGCGCTCACATCGCAAAGACCCAACACGGGATTGTAAAACTACGAAATAGAGACCGCTAAAATGTGAACGCAGCACCGCTCAGGGGTCGGGTTTCAGATGCCAGCAGTGTACGTCTGGTGGAGCTGCGTTATACTCTGCCAGTCAGCTGACCTTGGATCGTAAGGACCTTGACTACCGTATATAAAAGTATAAAGCAAAGGTTTCTACCGCCCTTGGAGGGACGTTATAATGAAGTTTTACTGCATTGCACACCCCTTGCGGACCAAAGTATTTAGATGGCCCACCTCTTCTTCGGTGACTTGGTCTTCTCCTCGGCGGCGCTAGTGCCCAACGAGGAATTGAGCTTGGCCATCGTTGCAGCGTTTTCCGATGCCACTGGGCTTATCGTAACCGGAGTGGAGACCTTTGCCGCTGTTCCCGATGCTAGTGACGCTGCTGCCTTGGCCGGTGTCCTCGTTGGTGATCTGCCCCGTCTGTGAGTGGCAAACAGTGCAACAGCAAAGTCCATGTCATTTTTAAATTCATGATCGACATGATCATGCTGGGTGACAGCCAAGGACTTCTTGGTAACTGAGGACCTGCTGGTAACTAAGGCCAGGAGCACATGAAAACCAGAGTGTGCAGCTCTGATGGGTTGCCGTCATGGCGAAATTCCGTGATTACATCATTTTAGCGATGTAGTGCGTACACGCAGGATTCAAATTTCAAGCAGATCTCTTTCTGCACAACTGCAGCAGCTGCACGCACTACGCCACTTCCCGCCTCAGACTTGCAGCAAATATGATGTAATCACGGAATTCCGCCGTGACAGACACCCATAGTAGAAAATGCCCCAAGCAGCGCACTCTGGGTTTCATGTACTCTTGCTTCGGCTAATACATGTAACAGTATACCAAGTCATCATGCCATGATGTCACTCTCTGCCAGCATAGTATGATACCAAGTCATCATGCCATGATGTCACTCTCTGCCAGCATAGTATACCAAGTCATCATGCCATGCTGTCACTCTCTGCCAGCATAGTATACCAAGTCATCATGCCATGATGTCACTCTCTGCCAGCATAGTATGGCCACTGCAGCAGCCAAGTTCAGAACAATTGAGGTTTTCAAAAAGTATGGCGGTCACAGCTGTAACACACATAGGCTACTCCACAACCATGACCCAGCATTCACTGCTCAACGATCATGACTCAGCATCATCATTGTAGACCGCGTACACAATGTCTTTGGCATGCTGTCTGTGCACATTTTCCGGACGAAATGGGTGCTTTCGGGAGACTTTTGGCGGTTCGCAGGTTTAAGCTTGTACCCACTTTGTACACGCTCCATCACTGTTCATCCGCTCTATTCATCATTGTGTACTGTGTGTGCTACATTGTCACCGTTACTACGCGCTAGTTCACTGCGGAACAAAGCATCGAGGCCTGCAGTTCAAAGACTTGATGAGACCTGGCAGTCAATGACCCTTACGTCAAAAATACTCCTGAAGTTGAGTAAGCTGAACTGCATTTGTAAATATCTTGTTCTGTTGGTATGAATACTGGTACTGGTACTGGTAGATCGACTGACCTTGATGTTGGCTTGGTGGGTGAGCGAATACGATTCTCACTGCTGTCCTGGCGTTGCTGGGAGCGTGCACCACCACCGCGCCGACTGCTGCCGGTAACAACTGACCCGGTCAGTGTGGTCTGCTTCAGCGCCCGGGAACGGCCACCCTTGGCCGGTGCACTCTCCTCGCGCTCTGGTGAGCGCGTGTCCTGGGACTCCGACGACGGCTCGGCGGACGATGAGAATACATCCTTGCTGTCCACCAGCTCCATGGCCTCGTCGCCTTCACTCTCGTTGCCGCTGTCGTCTTCCTCCTCGTCGTCCTCATCATCATTGTCATCGCTAGAGTCCCGGTCGGCAGCCGACAGGAGCTGCATGGTGGCTGCGGATTTGGCCGATCGCGACGGCCGCGAGCTGAGCCAAACAAAGGGAGCACGGCGGCAGACAATGCTTAGAATGGGGTATTCTCCATGTACACACACACACACACACACACACACACCTCAAACCTGCCCATCGCGGAAGCGATGATAGCGAACAGCTATGTTAGACATAGCAACTTGTGCTGGGATTACACCATTCAACAGCTTGCTAAGCTGATGAATTGACCGCCACTATTTTTAGCCTGGTATCCACCACACAGCTGATTGAAGTGACTTTTTCTGGCCAGTGAATCCCTATTTTTCATTTTTCCATTTTTTTTCATTTTTTTTCTTTTTCTACACACACACCACACCACATACTCCGGCATACACTGGCTGTTGGTAACCACCCAGGAGAATGAAAGAAAAGTCAGGAAGAGTTCGAGAAAGAGAAGAAAGACGTGTGCGACCATAATCGTCGGGAATTGAACCCGCAACCTCTCGATTGGAAATCGACTGCACATACCACTGCACCATATGGGACACACACACACACACACACACACACACACGCACGCACGCACGCACACACACAACATTTTCAGAATAACAAGACACAGGAAGTTTTCTGGGAAAGTAAAGTGACCCAAGCAACACAGCATACAGATACCCTTACCTTGCAGGTAGAGCTGGAGCAGTTCGGGACTTGGACACAGTTTTCTCGGTTTTTGTTGTTTCCTTTGTTGACACGCTGCCTGTGGTTGCTTTGGAAACAGACGACGCCCCCGTGTCCATAAGCTTCTTCTGCAGACGTCAAACAAACCATACAAAACAATTTGCCACGCTGATGCAAGCTAATTACGACACACAATCACAATGCGAAGGAAATGCCGTGTCTGAGGGCGGATGGCCGCGAAGAGCATAGTACATGACTGTAGTGCTACTAATTGCCTGACCTTTCCGACGGGTGAGAAGGAGAACGCTGGCGGCAAATACTTGTTGGTATTCAGCGGTGCATCTTTCTACAAGATCGCAAGAGCACGGAGAGAAGAGAACAAACACAGCTCAACACAACACCACGCCAGGACTAGGAGTTAATACTAGTACAGTATTGTTTGGTGCCGAAGTACAATGTGCTAAAGAATGATGCGCCGAAGAACGAAAAGGGAAAGAATCTCACCAAGTACAGCACACATGCATGTACAGTGATGCTCAATGAAATCCAATCGTATGAGTCAAGTTTACGCCCTGCACCATTTAGCAGCCCAGTGTTCTCAGGTCTACCATTCATCGGAAACAGTCCCGCTGGCTTTTGTAAGTGCAATTTGGGCCGAATTGAGGATCAAAAACCCACTTTAAATCTCAAAAATCTGGGTTTGGGATCTGCTTCTCCATGCATTTTGCCATGGCATACCTGTCCTAATTTTGTAAAACCTGGGTGACTTTCTATTTCCCTGTTCTTGGACTTTTCTGGCCTCAGGTGTGGCAAGGAGTAATTGCACGGGTCACACAATGCAGGATGTACTGTTGTTTTTACGATATCTACAACTATGTGTTGGAGACACCAAAAAGTTAGGGTGCCAGTTTCCAATGAATGGACTGTAGGTCTGCGCAGCGCCCGGCATGTACTGGAGTAACTCGATCGGATTTCAGTGAGCAGCACTGTACAGTCATGTATACTGTAACTCAACTACACAATCAAAGATTGCAGTACATGGACAATAAGAACGGTCGCATTTCCGACAGCCAATCTTGCCACACTGTACACAATACGGTACAGGCATCGTTTGTCCGCCGTTATTAACCCGATGATCTGTCGGTAGTAACCCGATGACCTGTCGGTATCACAAAGAGTTCATACACAACTCCGAGAGTGTGCAACTGCCTGTACATGTACAACCTCCATTCAGTGTTGCGACGGCAGAACTGCAGGTCACATGATGACATGGTTCAACAGGTTACACTGGCAAACAGTGCAATGTGACCACCAGAGAGCTGTACCCAAAGCAGGGGTACGTACAACGCTGCAGCCACCATGCACAGGGTGCAAATAACGTGCACATGTTTGCCACGTGACGTAGAGCCCATAAACTGGAGTTGCACACTCGTGGGGGTTATGTACACTTGTATTAACCAATGTTGGTTTATCCTAGCCTAGGTCTAGTGTTGCTAAAGTTGCTCACCGCTACGCCTTCAAAGATCCGCCGTGGAATGACAATGCGACCGGGGAACGGCTCAGACGTGAAGTGAGTCACCTGAACAAAGAAGTCAACAAATAGAAGAACACCTTCAAGACCATGGCATTCCAACACTTGGCCAAACAGCAGTACCCCGACTACTTCCAGTACATGCATTCCAACAACCAGCCGCAGTCCAAAAAGCAGCAAAAATGGTGTATTGCACTCCAGCTGCCTTCCAAAACGGGAAATTAGCCTGAGCTGCCTCGCGTATATGGGATTTCCCCTCTCTAGTCACATGACCAAGATGATGTAATCGAAATCCACGTAAGGCAGCACAACACTGAATAGTATGGTTTACAGCAAGGGTATAGCACTAGGATAGCATCATGAGATTCTACAAGACACTCGCATGCTGGTGGTAAAGATAAGGATGAATGTTTCTGATGCACGTGCTGCACGTGGTGCTGGACGGAAACCTTCATAGCATACACATTCAGTGCACGAGGAGTGAGCGGGGAAAGATTGACAGGAACAGAGGTTACGCCAATAGCATCGGCGAATAAGCCTGGTACGGAGCTACAAGCAGTGTTTGTATGATACTACTGACTACAGAACACGGCAAATACTGGCGTAGTCACATAGTTTCTATTCCTTTGCAATGGAAGGCCGGTCTACTAGCCTGTCTGCTTGTTGTTTTGCTTGCTTCTGAGTCACATGGGCAACACGGAATGCGAAGAATAGATGAACTGGCACTTACCCGGTTCGCCATCAAACCCAGCGCAATGTCGCACACCACATACAGACGCTGCAAACAACAAACACATGCACACGCACAGGGTTGGTGTACACACACTAGAGAAACAGGGTGAAGAGCTCTCAAGCAAATACAGCACATGTACATGTACCTTCCCTTACACATGAAAGGCTGGTCTACATCCCGCGTACACTACAGTGACAGGGCAAAGAGCTTGTAAGCAAATACAGCAAATGTAGTCATGCACATTTCCTAACACACAAAGAGCGTACTACAGCACTGCTCAATGAAATCCGATCGCGTGAGTCACGCACGCGCCGGGCGCCGTGCAGCCCTAGGAACACTGGAATGTCCACTGGTGCAGGGCTCAAACTTGACTCAATCGATCGGATTCCATTGAGCAGCACTGTACAAACATCAGCCAACATTCAAAGTCAAACAAAACCCCACTAAAACAACTCAGGTAACATCTTCACGTAGCATCAACATGAGAGAATGTCCAGGGCATACCTTCTGCGCTGCTTCGTTCTCCGCAGGATCAGTCGGTGCTGAGACATCCTTAGTCTGCTTAATGGTCTCGATCATCTTCTTCAAGAAGCCATACGTATCGCCGCGTAGCATTGGCGGTTCCAAAAAGAACCAGAGATAGCTGAGAGGTCAGAGCAGCGAAACCAAAACACCCCCAAAGAATGCAGGCAGAAAATTAGGTGCTGCAAGTCGAAGTCTTATAACACAGCTGCACACAAACACCTCACACATACAAACACACACACACACACACCATGTACCATGTATACGCCCGTCGCAAGAGAAGCACGCAAATCTGCAAATGCACTGGATGTGCACCCACAGATTTTCTCTTATAGCAACAATAGCGAACAAGATCTGAATGAGACAGATCAAGACTTGCGCCAGATAACTGTCGAATCCACACAACTGGTGAAGCCATGTGAATCGACCACCAATGCACACCTGGTCTACACCACACGGAGACGCCCCCCCCCCCCCCCAACACACCCACACGGAGACACCCACCCACCCACCCACCCACACGCACGCACACACACACACACACACACACACACACACACACACACACACACACACACACACACACACACGTAGGCAGCACACCACATACTTACTCCTTTAGTTGAGCCAAGCAATCCTGAGTTTGCTCCTGTAAGTCGGGATGATGAGCAAGTAAGTGGATGAGAAACGGAACAGCGTACTCCGGCAAGATGACTTCAACTTTGTCTGAGAAATCAACAACAACACCATACAGAACAGTCACGGGCGATCCAGCCATTGGCCCTCTTTGATTTATAAGGAAGAGATGATCACATGCATCCAGGTGCATCCACAGTGTGGATTTCACATACCGGTACATGCATCCACACATGTGCGTCCACGCACACGCGTGGATGCACAAACACACACACATACACACATCAAATGCAGTACAACGTTACTACTATGAACGATAAACAGACGGAAAGTGCCCCCCCCCCCCCCCCCCACCCACACACCCATCCTCACACCTACAAATGCAGAATGCATCACTACTACTTGAGGTACAGTGGATATCGGTTATAAAGTCATCGGACATAGTGATAAACCGGCTATATTGATACAAAATGAAAATATCAAAAGCAAAACCAGAAAAAGCCAGTCAAATTATCATTATAACCAATGTATCTTATATAGCGATAAATCGGCTATAAGGATACAGAATCACCATTCAAAACACCTCTTTGTGCAGAAAAATTATCGTCTATAGTGATAGCAACACACGAGTGTGAGGCATTGATGTCTCGATTTGGAGCCACATGTGTGTTTTCATAGGGTATTCTGGTCTGGTGCTTCCTGGATGATGCCTTTGGGCCAAGAAGTTCTTCACTCTAGACTGGAGAAGGTGCTGTAGCATCCATCACGTATCAGTACGCTACATTAGCGCGATCGAGTACCCACATGTGTATAATGTGTATGTATGACGCGCGCAGTTGAAAATCGCCTGTAGTGATATACCGGTTATAGTGATAAAATGTGAAAAATCAGAAGGGCACGTTATAACCAATATTTACTGTACTAGTATAACTGCTTACCAGCCAGTGATGTGTTGGTTTTGACAAGATCTCTGCGTGACGCTATGCTCTGATTCAGGCTGTGTCTCATCTACAAGGGTAGTGGACAGTAGACAAGGGCAGTGGACAGAGAGCATTCAACATAGGGCGTATTGTTGCACACCCAGAACACAAGTCCGTGACATAAACATACCCATAATGTTACTCCGGGGTGGCACTTGCTGCACTGCGCCCTTCTAAAGTGCACAACATACAACTCCAATTTGGCAACTGCGGCCTGGTGAAAGTTGGCACGGTGTGCCAGACCAAATCCAACGAAGTCCGAGCATATTTCCACGTACAGTAAAACCTGGTTTAAGCGTCCACCCTACGGTGCAAGCAAAAGCGGTCGTTAAAGCCAGGTGGTCTTTAGAACCAGGTCCCACAGTGTCTGCGTAGAACTGTCGGTGCATGGAAAGACAGTCGTTAAGAGCAGGTGGTCGCTAAACCCAGAGGTCGCTTACACCAGGTTTACTGTATTTCCACTGCACACAAGGGGCACTTAGAAACACCTCACACTTTGACGCTGGAGTTCTTGACAAAAGTAGTTTATCTATGATGCGTGACTTTACTCCTGGGGTAAAGCGTGAATGTTCCCGGTTCAATTTGTATATACGTACTAGTGCATGGGCCAAAGGTGGTCAGTACCAGCAGACCTACTCCCACGTTCCTACAACGTAATTTTTAGGGAGGATAGGAGCCCAGGGACCGGGCAGGTCTGTCACGTACCCGGTTCTTTTGATCCTTGACCGGGTCTGGTGCAGCAAGAGCCAGCATGCTGAGATAGGAGACGGGAAGAACCATTCGTGATAACCATTTCTGTAGCTTGTTAGTGAAAGAAGTCCGAACTTGCAGGCAAGAATCCTGGACAATAAAATAGACAAAAAGCATCATTAACAAGAGGAGAAAGAGGGGAGAGAGATAGATAGAGAAATAAAGAGAGAGAGAAGAGAGACAAGAATAGGGAGAAAGGAGAGAGAGAAACACGAGCATGGCATGTGTACTACACATAGACGACTGGTATTTGGGAGAGCATGGCAAAAGAAGGGAAAGTGAAAAGTTCTCTCTCAACAGCAGCAGCATACCTGGACCATGAGTGAAAGGTCAAGGAACATGTCAGAATCCACTTGCGTACAAAATCGCTCCATTGAGGCTACTTTGAGCAGACAGCAGGCGGCACATAGGCGTAACCGAGACTTCTCCCAAGCCCTGCACACGGCCAACAACAAACAACACTGATACAATCAAATAGACTCTGTTGCCCGTGTATATGTAGAACCACACCAATCGTACATAGCATAGTTCCAGGAGCATGGATGGTGCAGCATGACACTGAACATATACCCAAACACATTCTTGTACAGCACATGTGTTGGTTTCAGGCACGTGACCAAGTGGCTTCAAAGTGAAAGACACAACTCAGTTGAGCTCACCCACTCAACCATACACTTCACACAGAACACTTTTAAAACGTAGAGACCTACACACACACACACACACACACACACACACACACACACACACACACACACACACACATACACACACATACACACACATACACACACACACACACATACACACACACACACACACACACACACACACACACACACATACACACACACACACACACACACACATACATACACACACACACACACACACACACACACACACACACACACACACACATACACACACATACACACACACACACGGCACAGGTACGAACACACACAAGCACCCACCCACAGACAGATGGGCAGATAGACAGACAGACACACACACACACACACACATATATTTGACACACATATTTGCCACAGACAGACAGACGGACGGACACACATATGTAGCATACACTGTCTTTCCGTGTGCGTTGAGATCACCCTCATTCTGTAGCATGCAGTGCAGCAATCTCAGGACGGGGGCACTTGATGATGCTTCCTCCTCTGCTGGCAATGCGGATAGCCAACGTACGAGTAACTTCAGGGATGATATCTGTGCAGTTACAAGAAAATAGACAAGAATTGACACCAGTATCGTACATGTAGGACTAGTAGACATCTATTCTTCAAAGACTTCACATCAGAAAAAATCCTGATTCAAAATTTCAATTTGAGAAATGCTGCAAAGTAGTGGCGAGTCCCGTGGCTGATGACCAGCGACTGACTACTGGTAATCTCTATTGGTCTGACCTTGAGGAAGGTTTCTCTGGATACACGGTTGTCGTCGGACCACTCCGGGTCCTTTTCTCTGAAGCCCCTGCCTTCCTGTAAGCACATGGTACGGCAGGTTTCACACACACAAACAAGAAAGACAGAAGTACCATCAGAGCAAGTTGGTATGCATGCTATCACGCAAATGCGACTGCTCACACACACACATCCCAAAGGGGCCACAAAGAAACATTGCACAGCCGCAAGAAAAAGCTTGTGGCCGGTATAAATTGCACAGCAAAAACGTATTGGCAAGCAGCATCAAGTCACAAGTGGTACCCTGGGCTGGTATCAGCCATCCCATAGCAACAACACTGAACAAAGGAGCAGAAACCGTATAGAGTGGTGTTCACATCCCTAGTCATGTGACTAAACTTGTGTAGAAAGTGATCATGTCATGTGGACAGTGTGGACAGAGGAACCAACACGGCCGACATCATGTGACCCATAGATGCAAGGGTTGAGTGGAGTTGGAACCAACATGGCTGCCCTGTATGGTCATGTGTCACAGTGATAGACGTGAAACCGATCTATAGTAGTAGGCGTGCGACTCGCGCCAAAACTCACTCTGTCTTTGACCAGGAGATGCTTGACAAGGAAGTTGCGAATGACAGTCTTCTGGTGCGGAGCAAACAAGGTAGGGGCCAGCAGGGCGACATGGCCCAGGCCAGTGATTACTGTCAGCAGATTGTCCTTGTCGTAACTCAGGTCCTTCACATAATTCTAAATGCCAGCAGCAGAACACCAAATCACAAAGACATGTACAGTGCACTGACTACTGAGATTCATGTGCATGGAGCCCTACTAACAGCACTCGCAAAAGCACCGCATGCATTGGCAAAGAAGCAAACAAGCCAGGATCTGCACAGTCGTAGAGTTACAGACAAGTGTAAATTGCACGAGAGTAGAACTGCGAGAGCACAGCCTTCGAAGCAGGTATCATTGCAAGTCACTACTTGGTCCGCGTCAGCAATATTGTCGCTTATCTTTCGACAATTTGAACTTAGACTTTGGACATGAACGCGTGCATCTGAAGTGATAAAACTTGGTACAATGGACGGTAAGGTATAGAATGACAACTAGCTGCGAGGAATTTATTGTCCAAGGAAGGGTTCCTACTTTTTTCGGTCCTCCTTGTCGCTGCTCTCGTCGCTGGCGACAAATATTTTTGCTCGGGATCGACTCTCTTGCTTTTGCAAGCTCATCTCTCTTCCTCTCCGCTGCCTGGCTATTTTCTAAAGAGAAGTCGATCGTGACGGTCGCCTTCTCTATAGGAATTCGCGTGGGCAGCACGACAGCCTGTATGGTTCAAATCAGACGCCGTTCTTTGCAAGATTTTATTTTGAACGACGACTACGCGTACAGTACTTGCAAATCTCCACGATGCGCTGGATACTCCGAGCGTTGAGCTGGAGGTAAGGGAGCTGCGATCTCAGCTTGATGAACGATCCCTGAGGCGAGCGATCTTGGCCGTTCAGCAAAATGGAGCTGATTCCGAGTAGCCGATTACTTTCTTGTGGCTTACGCTGCTCTTGCCTGCACGGCGTAAAAAGATAATCTATTTTGATGCGGCGCTGTATCAATCAGAATCGCCCACCTGTCGCTCTTGAAATCCACTCGAACTCTAGCTAGACCTTTCACGTACTAGCAAACTAACTTGCTAACCAAAATTGGGATGAAATGGGCTGCCAAGTAAGCATTGGCGACATATAAACAAAGCTGAAAGATAAGCGACAATATCGCTGACGCGGGCCAAGTACATGTATACTATGTACTGGGAACGGCAACTGCAGCACTGGCCAGTTAGATCCGACCATTGACCAGCTGTTTCAGCGCAGCAAGTAGAGTGAAGCAGCCCTTGACACCCTGCGGCTGTGCAACCCAGCTTGGCTTAGTTCACACATCCCGCATGCAACGCAGTACACTAAGAGTACATAACCCCCCAGAGTGTGCAACGCCGATCCAGCTCTGGATAGGGTCTTGGTCGAGCGGAATCGGATCTTCTTGATGTCATGCGTACACTCCACACCAGCGCAAGGCCAGTCTCGAGGCAGGGTACCATTGTTTTTGATCCAAGAGTACCCGCGACTCCCCGGGTTCCCCTCAGATGTGTACGGTATTATGACGCAAAGATCCGATTCCGCTCGACCAAGACCCTATGCAGAGTTGGATCAGGCGTTGCACACTCTGGGGGGGGGGGGTTATGTACTCTTGATTACACAGATCTCGATTGAGTGGTCGGCATTCCAGTGAGCAATAGTGTACATGATACCAGCTACACGTGGAGGTGTCGTCATGATTTCTCTCAACAAGACACCACTCGTTGTGCAAGAGCTCTAAGAATCATTGAGTACATGGAAGAGGAGGACAGGAAAATGGTCCTGAGTCAGTCACGTACCTGTAACACCTGATCTATCAGCGCGCTGGAATTGCTGAGGAGTTTCTGCAGGCAGCGGAGCGAGAACTTTGCCTGCCTGGGAGTGCCTTTGATTGCCAGCTGCTTCAAGATCGGACCAAGGCATCTACACCGGGTGGGCATGAGCAACAACAACAGCAGCAGCAGCAGCAGTAGCAGCAGCAGCAACAATGATTAACCCTCTGGACATCTCGCAATCAAAACCGATTTGTTTCATACAAAAATACTTCGAAGTATTTGAATCAACAACACAAGAATGCCACTATCCAGTTCCAAAACAACACAGTGAACTACAGCACGTCAGGATGACAAGCGAGTGCATGAATGGTCCACTCCCAAGTCATACTGCACATGTAAACTACAGTGCTGCTCAATGAAATCCAGTCGCTTCACTCAAGTGTGCGCCTTGCACCATTTCGCAGCCCAGTGTTCGCAGGTCTAGGGCTGCGCAACAACCGGCGCATACTTCAGTGTTGCGGCTGGATTTCATAGAGCAATGCCTGAGGTTATACCTAGATGATACCTCCATGACACAAGCACAACCAAGCATTGCTCCACAACTGCCTCAAAAATCTGTCCAACAAAACAGTGCCAGTGTACGGAGGTATGTGTACATGTACTTTCAAAGTCCAGTTGCTGCAAGCCACATCGGCACAAATGCACACAGAAACGCATGTAGTGCTGAATGCCATGCAGTCTCCATACCTCAAACGATTTCGGGCACATGTACTGGTTCCTATTTGCAAGTACTTCACTTACGATGCGATGCTTGGGTAGGCTTTCTCCACGTCACCACCGACGCTCATCAGAATGAATAATGCAGACTCAACTACAAAACACACACAAAGACAACACAGGACACCCACATACATTCTGTCTATTCTTTGCCGAGTGGATGCCGATTCTGTTTTCCTTCCCTACCTGTACACAGCTCTCTTGATGTAACATATTGCCCATCTTTAGCCTTGCCACGGCCATTGTTCTCTTTCTCTCTCTTTTTGGGAGGTGCACTGCCCTCGCATGCACACTATGATTACACAAGAACTGCATACACGCATTCACACCAATGGACCTGTACGCGCTGCAACGTTCCTAGTCTCCTGCTACTGTACATACAGACTTGCATTGCCGTCTCACACATTCTTGTAATTATTTGCGTAGTTGGTGGAGGTGAATGTTGGAGGTGCTCCACCTGTTAGCTGTTGTAGGTCCACAGGACCACCACCCATACTCCCCCCCCCCCCCCCCAACACACACACACACACACACACACACACACACACACACACTATAACTTACCAACAAATGGCGAGTCATGCTTCAGAAACGACAGGAGCTGCTCATAAACCTCCTGCATTTGAAACAGCACCGGGTACTGGACGGAGAATGCCTGAAGAGAAGAAGAATCCGTGGACACAATCACTGTGAGAGGAGCTGCATGCATATTTACGAATCACACAGCTACTAAATAGAAGAGAGTCCAATGACGTTAACACTCCAGTAGGTATCATGTGATCAGTCGCTCAAAGAGAACGCGAAAAGAGATTTCCCCCAAAATGGCGAAGAGCATCGATCAAAAATTTGAATTTGCAATAAGAATACGGCGCACGATATCTCTGGAGTCCGACATCGTAGCTCTTCGGCGGTTGTTGCATTGGAGAGATTGGAGTTACTACGGGGACCCTTCGATTGTTGAATTTGCATAAGAAATGATGGAGTTACGAAGGTTTCAGTAAACAGTCATATATGATCAAAAGTCTGCAGGCAGATGATAAAGGGTTAAAAAGAAAATGCAGTGAAACAAAAATGGAAGCCTACTCAAAAGTGCTGTAACCTCTTCACCACCGCAACTCACCATGACCAGCTGGAGTCCCCGTTTGCAAGCCAACGGCAGCTGTCCACTTTGAGCCTGGAATACGGCATGCACAGCCACACACACACACCGACACACCATGTATGATACAGACAGACAGACGGACGGACGGACGGACGGACGGACGGACGGACGGACGGAGAGAGAGAGAGAGAGAGAGAGAGAGAGAGAGAGAGAGAGAGAGAGAGAGAGAGAGAGAGAGAGAGAGAGAGAGAGAGAGACACACACACACATGTCAATGCCATCCTTTATCAGCCGGCATTTTGCTTCTCTCATTGTACAGCGACCTCCAAAACTAAACCAGTGCAACAACAATCGTCTACAACGTAGTAGTTCACGAATAGTCCATGGAACATCATAATTTCTGTTCATTGAGTGAAACAGCTGTATTCAACATGGACAGCGCGTACATTTACGTAACTGGACTGCACTTATCCACATACCGAGTCTTTGCGCTTACTGCGCCGCTGTGGTGCACCGCGACGGCGAGCCATGCCTCCCCTGCCAGCGCCACCATTGTCACTCTCCTCATCACTGTCCTCGCTGCTGTCGGAGTCGCTGTCGTCATTCATGGCAAAGTCAACGTCACTTGCAACCCGCCGCAGCAGGAGAGACACGAAACCGGAGTCCACCAGCAGAGGAGCGGCACGATCCAATAGTGCTTTCAGCGTTGGTACTATGACTGCCTTCACATTGATTTCCTGCACTTCCTTGGACACACCGAGCTGCAATGGAGAGCGGGAAAGACGGAGAGAGAGAGAGAGAGAGAGAGAGAGAGAGAGAGAGAGAGAGAGAGAGAGAGAGAGAGAGAGAGAGAGAGAGAGAGAGAGAGAGAGAGAGAGAGGGAGAGAGAGAGAGGGAGAGAGAGGAGGAGGAGGAGGAAGGGAGATAGAAAAAATGGGGTTCAGGTTCGCACGGCAGGTACCATGAGCAGAAGGAGAAGTGAATGCCATTGACACACACCAAAAGTATTGACAGTGCGAGAATATATGCGTACACAATACGAAATACGCACACACTCACTCGAAACACACGCACGTACACACACACACACACCACACACACACGTACCACTGCCTTGCGAACAGACTCGCATCCTTTCTCCATGTTCGTACAGTTGACGAGGCCGTCGTAGAGATTGCGGTTCTTCAGCATGCCAACAAATTGCTTCAAGTGATCGTGTGCCTTGCTGGTATCAGGTAGATTCTCTGAAAATCACACGATCAGACAGCACAGTATCCAACTGAGATTAAACACGAAAACTGTCGTTCAGCCAAGCCTACCGTAAAAGACATGCTGCAAACACATCCCCATCAGAACACTATTCCGCAGTGCCTGCTTTCTACGAGGAACAAGAGTATCTCTACACAGTACCAAAGTACAATATCGCAGTTAAGTAGTACACATCTGCAGCGTGAAAAGGATAGCCTAGCACATGTTCAATTGACAATGTATTTGACTTGAACACAGCGTAAATACAGGCAGAATAATCCCCTGCTCTTGCACATGCAACTGGCAAGCCATATCGGCGTGTTTCAGAAAGCAAGACACCACTCCTCTCTTACTAGCTAAGTGTATGCATTGTGCAGCACAGCGTGGCTTATCGGCAGCCTGTAGACAAACAGATACAGATACACATAGAAACAAAGAAACCAGTGAATGCGGACGAAAAAGATGCCACAACAACGCAAGTGCATGATTTAACTAAAAATACATGGAAGTGTGATTATCCATCCGGCAGTTCGAACGAAGTTTCGCGACGGGCCTTGTGTGAAATTGTGTACGAATTTTCGCACGAACTTTGTGTTTCGCACATGTTCGCAGTTTGCATGTGCCAAGTTCACGTACGGCATGACCCGATCTCACGAAACTTCCCACGAAAGTTCATTTCGCGTTCCCTGCAAGTTTCGCGTCCAAAGTTGCGAAAGTTCGTGCAAAGTTTTTCACTTCATGACGTAGAGCGAAAGTTCGTACACATTTTCGTTTTGCAGAACCTCTCTACAGTCCATTCATAAAAAGATGGGCCCTGGCTCCGCGGAGCTCCCGTATTTGGCGATTTGTGTGGTTTTATCGTACTTGGTGCAGTACCGCGAAATTCGAAAATTCTTCGGAAACCAGGAAATTTGCATGTCTACTTTGTACTCTGTACATAGTCCGCGGGGGCGCGCGTACGGAGCACGTGCTGGAAAATGAAAGCATGCGGGAAGAAGACTTCGTTTTTCTTGTAGCTGCTGCTGTAGCGAATGTCGATGTTCTCCCTCTCGCGTTTGTTTCCAAACGTCGTCATGCCAGGCAGGAAAATTTATTCTCCTGGAGAGAGGTCCATTGTGTTGCGCGTTCTCGATTTCTTTGAAATGGAGAGGCGTGAGAGACGTCGATATCTCGTACGTGAGGCCAGGAAAAGGGCGTCGAAAGCAACTGGAGTGGGGGTTTCCACCATCAAAAGGATAGTTGCTGCTGCGTCTCCTGTGCCTGACGACGCTACACAGCTGCAGGACGACGGAGCTTCTGGTGACGACTGTGAGACTCGAGGTCGCCGACAAATTATTGTTGACGACTTTTTGAATGGTCTCATCAAGAGTAAGGTTCACTCTTTCAATTCGAAGAAAGAGCACCCCACCGTCGACAAAGTGTTGGCTCTCTGCAAGGAGGACATAGCTGAGTTTCCGGATATGGGACGCACCACCTTTTGGAAAACACTGCGTTCTGTTGGATTCCGCTATGGCAAGACGGAGGGCAACACGAAGCTGATGATGGAGCGTAATGACATCGTCGCTTGGCGGTGTCGCTACCTGAGGGAGATCAGAGAGGCGCGTGGAGCCGGTAAGCCCATTGTTTACCTTGACGAAACATGGGTGAACGCCCATCATACTGTGTCCAGGAAATGGTATGATCGTGGTGTTCCTGCCGGTGCTCAGCAACCCTCTGAAGCTCCTTCTGGAAAGGGACAGCGCCTCATCATCCTGCACGCTGGTTCAAAGGATGGGTTCGTGCCAAACTGCCAGTTGGTGTTCGTGGGAAACACCAAGTCCCACGACTACCATTGTAGCGACCCGACTCACTCAATTACGTCATTCTACAAACGCATGCGCAAGAAATAAAATCACTCTCTTTGGTCACAACTTCTTCGTTGTCCGGTTGGCCAAAGTAGCCGTCGTCTAGGGCCCGACGTAAAACCATAAATTGGTGACCCCTGACGCTGCGCTCTTCGGAGTTTTGAGCATGCCATCCCTGAGCTCGGCCCGCCGCAGTTTCCTGCTCGCCTCAACTCTCGGGAACCCGTCAATCGCCGGCTGTTGACGTAAAACT